ACGACACCTGGGAGTTCGAAGGGAGTGAAACAGTCTTCGATGTCATGGAAAGAGCATTCAAACAAAACTTTATGGTTCTAAATGGGTAAATTTGACTCATGTTCTTTCTAAACACGTTAAATAATAAACCGGGAGTGATCTCCCCTAAACTTTCTAATATAACATTACGGGGGATGGCGACTCGGGACATAGACAATATTTTTAATACATTTTTAATTACTTTAACTTTTTATAATAGAAACGAATCTCGTAAAAAAAAGAATTGCGCACCAAGTGAACGCCAAATAAAATGTGCATAATAGTGCGGGATATTATTAGTACTTTATAAATTCACATGCGGTTTTTTTTTTTTTTTGAGAAATCGGAAATAGCGTAAATTACTACTTCCAGTCAATGGAAATTGCTCAAAATTTGATAAAAGGCAGAGAATTAGAACTTTTACTTACATGTGAAATTTCATTTATCTATCTGAAATAGCACTCAAGTTATAGGCTTTTGAAACAGTCAAAGTAGGAAAAGTTCAATTTCCGGTTATCGGAAATCGCTCAAAAGTTGATACGGATCTACGATTTTGATATAATATTTATAAATGAAACTTCAACAACCTAGCTGTTACGGCACTCAAGTTATCGTGTTTACACACACACAGAGACACACAGAAACACATACACATACACACACACACACACAGAGACATACGAACAAGATTGCAAAACTATATTTTCCCGACTCAGGGAGCCCTAAAACGTCGAGATTTGCAAAAATTTATATTTTTTTACGCATGATTACAAGACTTTCTTTATACTTCGTATATACGAGAAAGTAAAAAGGGCAGTGAAATTCTATATAATAGTTTCGCTGTCTGTCTATCTATCTGTGTATCTATCTATCTGACAAGAACGCTATAGAGAAAACACAAGCAAATTAAAAACTTTCACAGTGAAACGAAAACTAAATATGACGTCACATTTAGCATATAGTAGAAAATAATATCAAGCCGGAGAGTGCACACAGTAATATGACGTCATTGTTTCTCGAGTAAACATTGAATAAAAAGCCAATTTTGTCTAATCTAAGTGGTTTGCGTGAAGAGTTTCTTTCATGCAATTCTTCGGGTAGGGGCGAAGCCCTACCCTAGCGAAAGAACGTCTAAGCCGCTCCCCCCCCCCCCCCCCCCCAACTCAAAACAAATTTCTTCATCGATACTCTGTAATAAAAATTACCCCCTAATTAATGTGTCTAATCTAAAAAGTGGTTTGCTTGCAGTTTCTTTCATACAATTCTTCGGGTAGTGGCTAAGCGCGACACCAGAGTTTCTTTAACACTTATTCCTCCCCGGAGGGTGGAACTTTTACTAATCTAAAAAGTGTTTACCCTGCACAGTTTCTTTCATGCATATCTTCCGGTAGGGGCGAAGCCCCGCCCAGGTTCTTTCTTTAGTTTGTATGATCTACAAATGCGACCAGTGTTTCTTTCAGACTTTTTCCTCCCCGGCAAGGGGTGGGGGTACTTGAATTTTTTGGGGGGCGGTGCTGGAATTTTCTGGGAGGGGGCGGAAAAAGTATATAATTATATTTCGTTGAATGGGACGGTAGACATGTTTTGGGGTGGGGGGGCGGAGCCCTCTCCTCTTAAGTAGAGTTGCATGAAAGAAACTCTAAATGCGACTTTTGTCATGAATGAGATTAGGTGCATGGTTTAGGGATATGCCTATCACTATATTTTGTATAAATTAAAGTACCGATTCTGGATAAAAATCCGTTTTCAATGTCATTTTTCGTTTCCGGTTAAATTTAATTAAGGTGGTGATTTTGGTTTTGCTTTTAGTTTAGAGAAAATAGACAGCGCTATTAACCTAGCGCCCGTTGTATCCTTCCTCAACGGGCCATTTTTCTCGTCTATAATAATAGTTTCGCTGTCTGTCTATCTGTATATCTATCTATCTATGTATCTGTCGGGAACGCTATAGAGAAAACATAAGCAAAATAAAAACTGTCATAGTAAAACGAAAACGAAACATGACGTCACATTGAGCATATAGTCGAAAGCCGGGAGAGTGCACACAATAATATGACGTCATTGATTCTCGAGTAAACATTGAATTAAAAAGCCGATGTTATCTAATCTTAAAAGTGGTTTGCGTCTAGAGTTTCTTTCATGCATCTCTTCGGGTAGGGGCGAAGCCCCACCCCCCGGTAGAACGTCTAAGCCCCCCTCCTCATAAGAAATGACGTCATCGATACTCAATAAAAAAAGACTGAAATTACGGCTTAATTAGTATGTCTAATCTTAAAAATGGTTTTCTGAAGAATTTCTTTCATGCATCTCTTCGGGTAGGGGCTAGCAGCACCTCCCCTCCGGAAGTGCGACCAGTGTTTCTATCAGACATTTTCCTCCACAGGAGGGGGGGGGGGTAATTTGAATGCTCTAATCTTAAAAGTATTATGTGTGCATAGTTTCTTTCATGCATTTCTTTGGGTAGGGGCAAAGCCCCTTCCAGGCTCTAACTTTAGTTTGTATGATCTGCAAATGCGACAGTGTTACTTTCAAACTTTTTCCTCCCGGGAGAGGGAGGGAGGTACTTGAAATTTTCGGGAGTCGGGTTAGACTAAATTTTCTGGGAGGGGGCGGACACAGGAAAAAGTACATAATTAAATATCGTTGAATGGGACGGTAGACGTGCTTTGGGGTGTTTGTGTGGGGGGGCGGGGCGGAGCCCCCTCTCCCCTCAAGTATAGTTTCCTGAAAGAAACTCTAAATGCGACTTTTGTCATGATATAGTATCAATGTGCAGTAACTAAGTGTAGAACAAGCTTAAATCCGATTAAAATGCCGATTCTGGATAAAAATCTGTTTTCAATGTATCTATCTGTGTATCTATCTATCTATCTGACAAGAACGCTGTAGAGAAAACACAAGCAAAATAAAAACGTTTATAGTAAAACGAAAACGAAACATGACGTCACATTGAGCATATAGTTGAAAAGAGTCGAAAGCTGGGAGAGTGCACACAGTAATATGACGTCATTGATTCTCGAGTAAACATTGAATTTAAAAAAGCCAATTTTATCTAATCTTAACAGTGGTTTGCTTGCAGAGTTTCTTTCATGCAATTATTTGGTTAGGGGCGAAGCCCCAGCCCACCCCCCTAAAGAACGTTTAAGCCGCCCCCCCCCCCCCAACTCAAAAGAAATGTCGTCATCGATACTCTATAATAAAAACACAGACACTACGGCCTAATTAATATGTCTAATCTTTAAAGTGTTTTTCGTGAAGAGTTACTTTCATGCAACTCATTGGGTAGGGGCGAAGCCCCAATCCCGATAGATCGTCTATGCCGACCCCCCCCCCCCCCCCACCCCCTCAAATAAATTACGTCAACGAGACTTCATAATAAAAAACACTGACATTACGACCTAAATTATGTGTCTAATATTATAAGTGTTTTGCGTGAAGAGAGTTTTTCTTCTGGTAGGGGCAAAGCCCCTTTACCCCCCCCCCCCCCCCCCACCCCACCCCCCACGGTAGAACGTCTAATTCCCCCTCCCCCTCACAAAAAGGCATAATATAATTTATAGAGAAAATATATACTTTTACCATCGTCGTCCTTCCCCGACCCGTCGAAATTTATTCGCCCATTCAAGTGCCCCACCCCCCGGGAAGGGGGCGGAGACGGGTAAAAATATGTTTTCTATAAAAAGTATATTTCGTTGAATGGGCCGGTAGACGTGCTTTATAGTGTGTGTGGGGGGGAGGGGGGTGCTCTGGGCAGAGCCCCCCCCCCCCCCCCCCACCTAAATGCGACTTAATTCGTGTTTGAGATTGGGTGCAAGGTTTAGGGATTTGACTTCGGTTAGTATCAATGTGCAGTAAATACGTGTAGATCAAGCTTAAATCCGGTTAAAAGGCAGATTCTGGATAAAAATCCGTTTTCAATAACATTTTTTCGTTTCCGGTTAAATTTGAAGTTTAGGTGGTGATTTTCTTTTTTATTTCGAGTTAAAGAAAAAAGACACCACTCTCTCCCTCAACGGGCCATTTATCTCGTCTATAATAATAGTTTCGCTGTCTGTCTATCTATCTATCTATCTGTCAAGAGAAAACACAAGCAAAATAAAAACTTTCACAGTAAAACAAAAACGAAATATGACGTCACATGGAGCATATAGTGGGAAATAGTCCAAAGGCTATTGGGTGGGGGCGGTGGGTGCGGATCGCACCGGGTGACACCATTTAGGGGGGGGGGGGGTGACACCGTGGCAAAAAATAGCGAATTGTAAAGAAGAAAAATGCTTTTTGCCAGTTGCAATAACGATTAATTAAAGTTAAATAGTCTTTTAGGTACAAATCGACAATTTTTACAAGAGGTAGGGAGTGACACCATGAAGTGCCTCACCGAGTGACACCCGACCTAGCGACGCCACTGTTTTAATATAATTTAGCAACACACCAATATACTCCCTCTTGCACACACAAACAACCTATGTAGAGTAAGAAAAAGACAGTATTGATGAGATTTGTGATAATGCACTTACCAATTAAAAGGTTCATGAATACAAGTGGACAAAGCAAGTCATACTAGTCATAATAATGACGGTCCTTGATTTTTCTTGAGAAAATGTTCTATTAGCGTCGCTTTAACACATGCAATGTTCATTACCATATATTCATAATTATCATTATATATATATATATATATATATATATATATATATATATATATATATATATATATATATATATATATATATATATATATATATATATATATATATATATATATATATATATATATATATATATATATATATATATATATATATATATATATATATATATATATATATATATATATATATATATATATATATATATATATATATATATATATATATATATATATATATATATATATATATATATATATATATATATATATATATATATAATAGAACATGTTATTAATTCTAAACTACTTTTAGAGAAACACGAAAAAGAATCGGACACCAGATTAACGACATGCTCATACAATGCTCCTTCGCTGGGAGAAAATGTTTTCCTGAGTAAAGTTGTATTTTAAAATGTTATCCTCAGTAAACTTATTTAAAATTTCCATCCATAGTAAAGTGTTAGTGTTGAAAGGTTTTTTAGTCTAAAAATTAACTCATAAATATGTGTGTATATATATATGTGTGTGTGTGTGTGTCATTCAAACGCAGCATTTTATTCGTGCTAGTACATGTATCATTCAAATACAATGCACGTGGTATAAAAGCACAATTTGTTTTTTTTTTATCTTATCTACTAGCAACTTTACTCACGTTTACTCTGAGACATATGGAAACTGCTACACAATACAGTATGAGAAGTTTATTATGCGTAAAAATGGGCCGCCAAATGGTGAGCAGATTTGGTACTTGTAAAAAAAACACAAAACAAAAACAAATTATATATACTAGACGAACAGTGTTATCTGATGGATAACGGTTTTTCGACGGTATAGTACACGAGAGTACCCATTTTTTCTTTATTCTAAAACACTTACAGCTTTAATACGTGCGCGGACCTTTGAACACAGGTGCTTTGACCATAGGGGGTTTGACCATAAGTGGTTTGACCACAGAGGGGCTTTGACCATAGGGGCTTTGACAATAGGGGCTTTGGCCATAGGGGTTAGACCACAGGTGTTTTCTAAGTGTGCCGTGTGCAGTCCATATGTAGACCTTCAAGGAAACGCCACATTGTTGTACATTGGAGGAGAGACTGAAGACTATAATGTCATCCTTCACAAACATTATTTGTTCGTGCTACACCATCGCCAATCGTGTGTATTTGATTCCAAATTTAAAGATTAATCCGTACCATATATGGACAAAGCGCTTGTTATCAAACGCCCGCATCGGACAAACCACCTGCGATCAAAGGCATCTACTTAGAAAACACCTGCGATCTAACCCCCTATGGTCAAAGCCCCTATGATCAAAGCCCCGTTGTGGCCAAACCCCCTATGGTCAAAGCCCCGCTGTGGACAAAGCCCCTATGGTCAAACCCCCTATGGTCAAAGCTCCAATGTGGTCAAACCCCCTATGGTCAAACCCCCTATGGTCAAAGCACCTGTGCTCAAAGCACCTAAGACCCTTTAATAATACATACCGTGGAAACATTAAGTGTATTTCTTGGAAAACATGTATTATTGTAGGAAAATACATTCAAAACTGCTCCCCTCCTATTAAACCCACATGGGCTGGAAAAGCTTCATTCCCTTCTTCACGCGGACAAACCATCTCCTGACGGTACACCAAACTAATCTTTCACTTAATGTTTTAATTATTCCTTTCTAATTAACAATTTAGATAATTAACAGTTGACCCCCCTTCTCTTTATTTTACAGGATTAGAGCTTATCTTATACGTGGAATCAGCCGAATACATCCCTACTATTATGCATGAGACGGGGTTCAGGGTGGTCGTACACCAGCAGGGCACCGTACCGTTTCCAAACGAAGATTCTGTGAGTGTCATGCCTGGGACCAGCACCTTTATTGGGGTCAAACAGGTAAGTAGAGATTAAAAGGCACCCATCAACATGGTTAGTTTTTTTTTCTTAGTTATTAGTTGATTTTGGGGTCATTCATAAAAAAAAATGTCACGCTTTTTTTAACCTATGTTTGCTTCCCCCGTCTCCATCGCTACGAATCGTCACAAAACATCAGACTCCCCTTTAAAAATGGCGTCACACTTAAGCTTATAACTCCCTCAAAAACTGCTATCGTTGATGATTTTTTTAACCTTATTTAACTTGGGGCATGGTATGTTCTATACCCAGTGGCGTAGCTAGGGGGGGGGGGGCGGGGTGCGGACCGCACCGGGTGACACCATTTAGGGGGGGGGGGGTGACACCAAGGCAAAAAAAAAGCAAAATATATAGAGAAAAATGATAATTCCACTTAATTAAGTGATTAATTCGAGTGTTAAAAAGTCTTTTAAGAGCAAATTTGACAAAACCCGACAAGTTTGAAGGGGGGAGTGCAATCGAAAGTTTGAGGGGGGGTGCACATCGAAAGTTTGAAGGGGGGATGCAAATCGAAAATTGAAAATTTGTCCCCGGGCGCCGGGAAGGGTCACTACGCCTCTGGGGGGTGACACCATTAAGTGCCGCACTGGGTGACACCCGACCTCGCTACGCCACTGCCTATACCGACTACACCACCCAAGCTACCATCATCTTGTAACGTTCGTGCTCAAAACACACGGGATAGGTTAGGTAGAGTACATCTGTTTCAGTAACCTCGGCATAATGTGATCCGGACTATACCCATGCGCCTTCGTTTCCCCGTGATTAAGGTACCCACTAGCGCTGGATGGACTCAGTGACGTCCTACATAATCCAAGCTCTACCATCCCACCAGGCCGTTCCCTAGCAACCATATTAGTCAAATAACATTACCCACTTGTTAATTATTGATTCGGGTTTTTTTTTTATTTTTTGTCTCCATTTGTACGCTTGATTTTGTTTCATTTCTGGTCTGTTTAGGTCAACGTAACACGACTTAACGTCCCTTACGGCAAATGTACTAATGACGAGTACAGCAAGCTCTACAATAGGACCTATACTGTTAAAGTACGTCTCTTGGTTAATCTAGCCTTTGTGTTGTTATTTATTGTTTTTTTTTAAAGACGGGTTAGCTTTATTTGAACAGATGTATATAGTGAAAGGTGGGGATAGGTCTCTATTAGTTCTACCCATATATATGCTTAAATACATTAAGAACATTTAAGAACAGCTTGATTCATTAAAATTAAAAAGAAGCAAAACATTTCCTTAAATGTTATTAAGCTTATTTTTTCCATAATTTTTAATAGATCCGTCCTTGCGTAAATCATATTTTCAAGACGAAACGACAGAAGTACAGATTCCGATACGGCCTTTCATATTAATTAAGCAAAGATTAATTCACTCTTTAGTAGAATAGTCGAATTACTAACATATTCTTAATTTTATCTCCAGACTTGTCAGAGAATTTGTGAACAGAGTGAGATTCGAAAACAGTGTGAATGTATCCCCAATTCAGAGATAGAAATCAACAATACTATTGGTAATCCGAACAATTTAAGTGCTTGTAAAAATGAAACAGGTGAGTACGCAATCATTACGTGATCAGTTATAATATCAAAATAAGAGTAAAAATTTAAAAATTCTTGAGACTCAACATACACCAAAATGCGTATTTTACTTTCTCGTATACAGAGTATAGAGGAAGTATTGTAATTGTGCACAAAAATCGCATGACATTTTGACAGTTTTCACCGTTTTACTTCGTTATATACGAAGTACTGGGGACTTATTTTAATCCGGCGAGAATTCTAAATACAGATTTATCAAAATTTCGGGTTTTATGCGTAATCGAGTCGGAAAAAGGGGCTTTGTAATTTTGTCTAATTTTAGCTTTTGAGTACAATTATCAGATAGAAAAATGAAATTTCACATATAGATAAAAGATGTAATTGTCTGCTTTCTTTCAAATTTTGAGTAATTTCCGTTGACCGGAAGTAGTAATTTATGCTATTTCCGATTTATCAAAAAAACGCATATGAAAATAGAAACCACTAATATTCCGCACTATTATACACATAATGTTTGCCTTTCACTTGCTGCGCTATTCTTTTTTTTCTACGAAATTCTCGTTTATTTTTTAAAGTTTAAGTAATAAAAAATGTATTAAAAATCATGTCTATATCCCGAGTCGCCATCCCCGTAGTGTTATAGAAGAATTTTCGAGAAAGTTTAGGGAAGATCACTCCGCTTTGTTATAAATACGTTAAACTAAAGGTTGAATTTAGTATAAAGTGTTTCCTAATATATTTGCTTGCTTTAACTTCCTACAGAATTACATTGCGCTGTCAAGGCAATCTTTGACACCGAAAAATTACAATGTAACTGTAATACTCCGTGCAGGTGAGTCCCATAAAAAAATTAGAGAAATGGGATTGCTAATCCGAAAGTCTCGAGTTCGAATCCGGGTTACAATATGTAGAATGTCCCTGAGTCCACCCAGCTCCAATGGATACCTATCTCACATTTTAGGGAATGTAAATGTGGTTGGGGTTGTTTCTTACATTACCCCTTCATAAGCGAGATCACAGAAAGTTGTGATTTCTACTTCGTTCGCCCCATCCATGGACCGTCAGGTTCGAAAAGTGAATGCTACTGCGATACAGTAAGGTGGTTTTAAAAAATAAATTTGCATGTATTTAAATGTTGACCAATTTATCCATTTTATTTCATTTTTCTTTTAGCGAGGTCATGTTTGAAAAATTTCTGTCGTCAATAAAATGGCCAAATCAAGATTTAGCAGTAAGTTTTACCCGTAAATTAAATATGTAAATACATAAGCTTTCCGTAAGTTTATTCACTTACCTGTAAACTACAAACACTTTCTATCGTAATTCATTTTTGTACATCGTATTTTTTCAGGAACTGTATTATCTCCCCAAATGCAAAGCAAACTCAGATCAAAATTGCTCGACATTGTTTGACCAATCACAGTCAAAAAATTTACCGTAGGTTGTTGATACACATATTGTATTCCTACAGGTTCTAAACCAGGTTAACTAACTGTAAAACAACCCCAATACCTTTATTTGATTGAACATCGATAATGGTGGGGTGGGAGTTTTTGTAATCACTGACCTTTAGCACTTGGGTCTAAACTCTAAAATGTATATATTTTATTTCTATACAATCTATGTGGAAAAATGTTATATCAGTTTTCCGATTTTGCGTCTATTTTAACCACTTTGAGATTGGGTAATTCCGTCACTCCGCTAAAAATATGCTTTTAATTTTGTTTACCATTCGTTTGTCTACCACCCTTTCACCCCCCCCCCCCCACTTTAGGGTCCCCCCTTCCCTCCCAGCTACGTCACTGTTTCTGGTGTCATGTAAACAACAAAACAACTCTGCATTGTGGTGAAACATGTTAAAAGAAATATCGATGGTTAACGTTGGAGTATTTCACAAGTGTTTTAAAATTAAAGCATCGTTGTTGTTTATTTTTTTTTCAGTCAAGAATTTGTAAAACTGAATATTTATTTTCAAGACTTGAACTATGAAATACTAGACGAGAATGCTGACTACGAGGTATTTATTCACATGTGTTTTAAAATGTTCAATAAAAACAGATGTAAAATATTGCACACAACATGCTCAATCAATTTTGCGAAATATTTGATGATCGAATACATTGTAGACTAAAGGCTAAAATACACACCAGAGGCGTAGCGACCCTTCCCGGCGTCCGGGGACAAACTTACGATTTGCACCCCCCCCCCAGACTTTTCATTTGCACCCCCCCCCCCCCTTTCGAACATTTGATTTGCAACCCCCCCCCCCCTCAAACTTTCGATTTGCACCTCCATCTAAAACTTTCGATTACTTTTTTCAACCCATTTTGGCGCCCCCTAAGTTTAAGTTTGGCGCCCGGGGTATGTTCCCCCCACTGCCCCCCCCCCCCCCATCGCTACGCCTCTGATACACACAGAACTGAATGTTAAGAAATAGCTTGCAAAATGATTGCTTGTAAAAACAATAAACACCACAATTACACACTCTCTACTACGTCTGGCAATATATAAATAACTAGAAAAACAGAAAGTGCAGAAACATTTTAACGTTTAATAAATAATATCCAGCATGCAAACATATATCATGTCAAAAAGCCTATATTTAGGTAACTGTATTGAAAATGTCATTAAAGTAGAAAATGTGTTTGTTTCACAGTTTCCACAGTTTTTCTCTGACATCGGCGGCACGCTAGGTTTGTGGATCGGACTGTCGTTGCTCAGCGTCTTTGAAATCTTGCATTTCATTCTACGGCTCCTCGTCTTTCTGTGTACAGGCAGATGTGCTAGAACGGCTCCAGGCTAAAACTCTCGACATGAAGTATTATGCAGCAGTGTCGCATTCCAATATTAAATAAAATTGTTAAATCCACATACTCACAGGGTTTATTTCAGACATTTCTTCGCTTCAACTCCTCCCCCTCGATGAAAAATGTCCAAACAAAACACTGACCCCTCCTTACCCTTCGTGTTATTTTACTCGGTGTATCCCTGAACAAGAAACGTAAACATACACACACAAAAAGTAACCAAAGTTTTTTGGGCAACTGAAAATATTTCTATTTTAGGACTTTTATTATGTTAAGTCCTTGATGTATTTCAATTATATTGATCTCTTAATTACATTATATTTTAAAGCAACGTAATCAAATATGAATTTATTTATTTTTGTTTGCCCCGAACATGTAATTTACAGCGTCAATTTGACTTCCCATGTACCCTTTAGTATTACAGTTTTCGTCATCAGTTTCTGAGAACTGATACAGATATACAAATAGTAATACTTTATTCTTACATGTACTTTCATTCAATAAAGATTGTTTACTTGTACAGTATACAAAACGTCTATTAATTTTTTTTCTTAAACCTGAAAATTAAAATATTTTTAAAATGGTTATTCAGTGATTTGTGGAGATTTGGTGGGGTGGGTCGGAGAGGGTGTAAGTTCAACCGTAAAAATAAGTGCAACCTTTTCAACAAAATATTTTTTTATTCAATAATCGTTATAATAAGTTTTTTTTTTTTTATTATTTTTAATTATTACAAATGTAGCAATAATATTTTTTTAAATATCCATGTTTAATGTTTTAACTTAATACAATTTTATTCAATAAATTAAAAAGTATTCAGTGCAGATAAATATGCAATAAACATTTATGTTTATAGGCCTACTTATCTATTGTTTGTTTTATCAATAGAAAATTATACACTCAAACAGGGGTTAGTATCGCTAATTTTATTTTGTGTTAGTATCGTTAATTTTATTTTGTTATAAGATTTTTCGTACGTTGATCTTCTACCAGGTGGTAAACCGTGTAGGCCTACCACTTCCACTTCTTACTTGAAATTGTTCAAAAGTTGAAATAAACATCCGCATACCAAAGTATAGTATATTTGAAATTTCGTTCGCCTAACTTAAAAGATATTCAAGATATAGGTTTTTGAGAAACCGAAAGTGAAATAAGCACCACTTCCTGTAACCGGAGATTGCAAAAAAAAAAAAGTTGAAAGAAAACTACAAATTTGATGTATAAGTGTTAATGAAGAATTAAATATTTTGAACCGGGAATACACAATTCTATTTACTGCTATATTGTCATATCTTTATGCACACTTCCCAACCGTCAAAAACCCTCTACCAACTTCTACCATATCACATAAAATTAAAAGCCCCCTCACAATTGTTCACACATGTTCATCCTTGGGCAGTGGCGTAGCTAGGATTTTCGGGCCCCTATGCAAAAATTATCAGTGGGCCCCCTTCGTCAGCCGTCATATTATAATTGAGTTAAACGAAGAAATCAACTGCTACTTAAGAATGAGGTAGCCGGATACAACCTCTGGTTCTGTTTAGTCGTCGAATGTAGAAGCCCACCTTGTCCCTATTGTAGAAAGCTCGTGTGGTTGGTGTCGGTAGCCGTCCCTGTTGCAGTTTGACCGCTGAATCAAGACTCTGCAAGACGCCCAATCAACGGATCTCATGCACTCAGGTTGCCTCTGGGTAACTCGCTTGCCCAATTGTTACTACTGCTATTGCCCTGGGGGACACCCCTTATTCGATTTAGTAATCGACTTTAGGATCCCGACGAATCCCGAGTGTATGGCGCTCATTAAAACGAATATAGGCACCATAGTGCTCTTGGGGGACCCCGGAGCGCACCAGGTTACACGACCGCCGAGGTGCCGGCGGCAATTTGACCGCTGAATCAAGTAGTAACGCTGACCCGCTGCGCCAGACAACCAATCAACAGACCCCAGTTGCAAAAATAGCCGCTGGGAAACTCTCGGTGGCAAACCGCACTGCCTAACTATCGAGGCGCAGCTCTCCGAAATAAAATAAAAATGTAATGGCAGAAACCTTCCCAGGCACCTTTTCAGGAAAAATATCTGGGAAAAAACGTTTCCTTTGGAATATTCTCAACGACTTTCCAAAGTTTCTTGGAGATTGGATGAAAATTAAAAAACTTATAGTGTTAGTAGTGCCATATTGATTAAAGATTAATTAGATCAACGCATGAAAAGTCATTAAGGTAAAGAAAAACAGTGACAAATTTTAGATTCATCTGGGTGTGAGAACATTGTTCATGGTTATTTTTTTAATGTCTCAGATGTTATCATGGATGTTTAGAAAGATGGAATTTCGTGGAGGGCAGACTGTTGGGAGAGAGGTGCAGGTCTGTGGGATGAGGTAGGGAATTTCCCAGTCAGTTGAGGCTTGTAGCGATGCATGTAGATTTACTGGTGAGGGATGCCAATCTTATAAAATAGTCAAAGTTCAAGTTTATTATTACGGATAGGCCTTGTTCCACCCCCCCCCCTACCCCACTGAATCCCACTACTTGTAAAGTAAGAAAGGACTGGGGCATTTTTTTTTAACTTTTAATTATTTCTACAATAGAAAATAATCTCAATTTTCCTTTTCTTTTAAAATTATTTATATTAAACAAATATTAAAATTTCAATGTAAAAGTAATTTTTTTAAGAGGGAAAAGGCCTCCCAAATGCCGTGGGCCCCTATGCCTTGCTTACGCTAGCTTTACGGTAGCTACGCCACTGACCTTGGGGTAACAATACATAAACCCACGATGTTAAACTCAACTGACAGACGCCGTATCCTTCCCAGACTTCTGGCCTATTCTAACCTGAACAAATGGCTAATGACTAGTAACTATACGTAGGGCCTACATATAAAATATTTGCTCAACCTAACAGAAACGGTATTCAAGTTATTGTGTTTACACACACACACACACACACACAAACACACACGCAGTGTTTCTTCCAGCCCGAAAATAGTCCACCCCCCCCCCCCCCGAACGAAATGTAATTTATATAGAAAACATATACTTTTACTAGTGTCCGCCCCCCCCCCCCCGAAATTATCAAGTGCCCCCCCCCCCTTCCCCCGGAGAAAAAAGTCTGGAAGAAACACTGAAAGAAAAAGAGGGGGGGGGGGAGTTTACCAGTATTGCAAAAGTAAGTTTTCTCTGCTCCGGAAGGTTATAAAACTCCAAAATTTGCCAAAATCTCGATTTAGATTTTTCCCCCAATGCGTCTTTATAAGATAAAGTGGGGAAACCACAAAACACTTTCACTATAGATCTACTCCCCCCCCCCCCCCCCCTCCTCTCCTTCCATGGAGATAAATGTCTGGGAAAAAAAACGTGATGTTAATTTTTGTCGAGCACTAACTAAAACGAAATCGGCGATTCAAAACACGTTTATCTGTCGCTGATTTGGTTTTACAAGAAAAACTATTTGTCTATAACTAACTGGGTCTCTCTTTTTTATTATAGATCTAGCCGTATTATTTAAAAGTATTTTAAAAGTAGCCTATTTAAAATTAATTATTTGTTTTAAAACAGATCCAGATCTAGAATCTATATGACGGATATGTACATCTAGTTTATAACCTAATTATTAGGCCTATACTAATACTAATTATAGGCCTAATTGTCAGAGTAATTGCCTATATAATACTAATAGTAATCTCGCCAGGGGCGGAACTACAGTGCCGCCAGACCCCGCAATGCGGGGGGGGGGGGGCAGGCCGTTTAGGGGCCCATGGCCGACCATAATAATTTTTTTTATAGTTAAAAAAATAATTTTCTAGTAAAAAAAAAAGATTAATACAGTAGTGATGTTTTACAATAACCAACACACGCTGTTTCGTAAAGGAAAAAAATATATAGGCTACATGACTTGTAGTGTAAAAGATAGGCAACCGTTCAAACCACTTCCATGACTTATTTCCCTTTTTTAAATAGTCAAATATGTGTGCTCTTATGAAACTTTTAATAGATTTGCACTAAACAAATTAAAAAGCAATCACTTCTCTTAAATAGTATTTTAAAAAATACAGAATAAAGAATGACATAGTATAAAAAGGAAATGTATTAAAAACTAATAATATAAATGCTAGAAAAACATAAAAATAAACAAAAGGCGAGAAACCATTACCCATACAAAGCTTTCATGCTTCATATTCTTTTGACCGACTGACCAACCACTTCTTCGACTCTATAAAACCTGCATAAGCCGTAGAACTGGATGGTGACCTACCTACCATCCATAATAAGGAAGCATTAGGCCAGACATTAAAACAGAAGATTTCAAAACAGACTAATAGCACTCACACAAATAATGTGTATATTAACATGTTTTTAATAAAAATAAAGACTAAGAATTTTAATTTTTTTTTAAATTTCGATCATGCCCGTATTGAGTATTCTATGTTCGTATTTCGTATATAGGGTCCTATATATATGTATATATATGTATATATATGTATATATATATATATATATATATATATATATATATATATATATATATATATGGGGCCCAAAAATTTTTTTAGCGGGGTGGCCCTTTTTTTCCAGTTCCGCCACTGAATCTCGCAGGCCATTAACTGGTTGTCTATTTCGGTATATTTACTACAGCAAGGAACATTATTTCAAAATTTTAACTGTCCGTTGGTAAGCTAGTTTTTGTTAACTTTTTGTTTAACAAGTGAGTTTATCTCAGATGTGCTGAACTAAATGTGATCGCCGTGTCTCTATGTTTTGGTTGCCGCCAAAACAATCATTTAGATGACTGGTTGTCATGTACTTTATAGTCACGTGACCAAACAAAGATGGCAGTCTTTACAGTCTACTCAGGGTATAAAACTACTACATTCACATTTCTTATTGAGTTTTACAGTATTTTCGGTTAATTAATAATTACATATTTTTTTAAATATGGATAATGTTGTTCTTTTAATAAATATAATGACATTAGTGCTATTTTAAAATGTGTTTGTTAATCTTCAACAAAAATTTAAAAAATCGAAGATTCTGTTTCAGATTGATTCTTCTGAATTCACATTCCGATACCTACACTTAACTACACTACATTCGATAGATCTAGATCTAGATCTCTAGATCTAGTCTATATTACTATAGGCCTATTCGATAATGATATATTTTTGTCAGATCCAGAATCTAGTGCATAAACTAGAGATCTAGAATCTTGATCTAGAGAATCTAGATCTACAAGAATTACTTAATTTATTACATTACAAACTTAAACTAACATTTACAAACATAGATCTACATTATAATTCATATAAGGATTATTCTACATGCCTCAATTCTGATTCTCTCTCTTTGCATCAGTGCAGTTTACAGACCGACTTAGTTTTTTGAGTCTAAATCACTTAAAGTAAATATCATTTTACTATAATTTTACTTTTAACATCAGCATACATTACCATTTCACTGATTTGTAATAAAATAATTTCATTCAACTGAAAATGTGAGAACTAAAATTTAAATGCCTCAAAATATGATTAGCCTATAGTCCTACCTATGCTGAAAATCTGGTTTTTACAGTAGGCCTATTTCTATATCAAATTACCCCTAGTTTATTTAACCATGCGTTGGATTAGGTCAATGCACAAGATAACTTTCCAGCTATTTTTATTACTGCATGCTTAAGAAAATTGTAATGATTCACACTTGTTAACACTTGTAGTTTTATATCAGAAAGTCACACTATTTTCCTTATAAAATGAAACTCGCACAAAAAAAAAACTTCAAACTTCTGTGCACAACACAGTTAACCACTACAAAACTAAAGCTGTAAAAAATTAAATTTGTCACTTTTTAACAAAAGTTGATTTTACTTTTATTTTCAGTAAACAGAGTGGGAAGGACTGCTCATCTCTCTCTGTTAAATTTTAAGTACATCTACAGTTGATAGTGGTAAAAATCCATGCAGGCCCTGATTGAGTGTGCTTGAGACACTGAGGTGCCTGGAAATTATGAAGAACAGTACGTCTTTAACTTCATTGTCATCTATGGATAAAGGTCAGTATATTTACTTAACTGGATTTTATTGTGGATAATTTTACTCACATACCTTGGAATTTTCTCTTTTATAAACGAGTTAGTCATAAAATCATACAATTTACCATTAATGACCAGTCTTGTTTAAATAACTATTTAATTCTTTATTTCTAAGCAGGGCATAATAGCCATTACAATTTACATCTGTCCATTAACTCAATTTACAGCTAACAGATATCATCTTCCCCTCTGCCTATGTCATTCCTCATCTCCAAGTCATTTTATTTCTTTGTAGTATGTGTGTCCACTTATGAAAATCTGAGTGGCTTATCATTATTATCAAAATTATGGTTTCTTTTATTGATGGGGGTAGGAGTTGAGAGAGAAGAAACCAGGAATGTCCCTTTAAATTCACTTTGCCTCAACTATTGGGATTAAGCGACTCAAACCTAGAAATCAGTTAACAATTCCCAAATTTGGTTTAGAATACAAAAATGACAAGATATAATTTGTAAATCTACCAATAAAAATAAGATTTAGAAAAACAAAGTTAAAAAAATGATATTGTTTTGTTTCAGATTTATCGTTGTCATTTTTAAGCTTACATAGCAAAACAGGATTAGCCCAGCACACTGCCGTATCAAATCCCCCAAGTGCACGCTATTCAGATTTTAATAATTCGCTGGATTACTCAAGCTATGGAAATGACGCCGAAGGATTGCCTTGTATACCTCATAAGAAACAGCAGAAACGCAAAGACCTGATTTCAGTTAATCTGAGTGGAACTAGATATGAAGTTGGTAAGGTGCTTGCCTAAGCTAAAGTTACTTTCTGCTCATAGTTGAAAGAGTAATTTATTTTAATTTGTTTCTGTCATGAAATAGATTATTTGAAAATTGGAACCATTACAACAAATTTATTTTGTTTTGTTTCATTCCTAAAAGATATTTTTAAAATGAAACCATTAGATCCATTAGATGAAATTAATTTAGATTGAAATTGAGCTTTTTTGAAAATGTCCTGAAAACTATTTGTCTGACTAAGAATTTTATGAAAGTCTTGCATGTTCTGCTTCACTTACAAAAATTTTAAATGTATAAAATTTTAAATTTTGTTCTTTTTAAAACTGACCAAATAAACTTTAGATTCAGGGTGCTTAATATAGGCTTATGATAAATATTTTAAAATCATTAGCCTTGTTTGCATATATTCACATATATGATACTGGTATGTCTAAGGATAATTTGTTAAGTCAAGTGTTATATATAGATTAGTATTTTGTTAAATAGTTGGGTTATGTTTGATTTTGATGTATTATTTTTCATGATACTAGGCTATAAAAAATAATTTTATATTTATATTCTTATGAACTTCAGTTCGTTATGTGGTTGAGAAGTTTGGCTTCTCAATCAGTAGAGATGATGACCCGACTTCGTAAGTCAATTTGTTATGTCTTTTGTTTGAAATTTTTTAAATTTCATAGTTGCACAATTTTCTAAAACAATGGGCATAGCGAACTATTTTTTTTTAATTATTAAAAGAAATATAGTGGAAACTGTTAATTTTTTATTTTTATTATTAAATTAGCCCAAAAAATAAAAGTTAATAAGCATTAATTTTAAAACTCTAGTCTCTCTGTTGTTTATCTTTTCAAAGCTAATAATTTCCTATATTGATTCCAATGAATTATTTTTGAGAAATTTCATCTAAATCTTGATTATTTCTTCTGGCAGCTATCTGATATGGAATGACACATTCGTTTCACCAGATAAGATTAGTGAGCTTAAACCGTACCAACACATCAATCATTTCCCAGGAATGGTTGAGGTGACGAGAAAAGATTCGCTGGCAAGAAATATGATGAAGTAGGTATTACATTATAGGCTATGGGACTGTTGAGTTAAAATGTAACTATGGCTAAAAAAATAATCTGCATGCTGTTGGTTTACTACCTTTTTAGTTCCAGTGCCTGCTTCCACCCCTTTATTAATGTAGTTTAAAATTGCTCGAAAAAACTAATAAAGAAATTAGCAATATCTTTGTAAATTTGCAATACAACAAAAATCCATATGTCCCTATCCAGTTTTCATATATGGATATATCTTGATTGAACCTTCAGACTAACACTGCCTCAGCAAGAGTTGAATTTTTATATTTATGTGCTTAGAATGCAGAAATTTATTATAATTGGAAAAGGGGGTGGGTAAAAAACTCAAAAAAAAAAAAGTTGTATTGAGTTCTAATTTATAAGAAAGGAACAGAACAACCTACCAGAAATAGAATTCATTTCCTAATTTGTTATAGCCTGATATAAGATTTGATCAGTTTTCTGTTATGTCACTAGAATGTTTTAATGATCACAAAAACTCCACTGTTAAAATTTACGTTGGTTCCTCTAATCCACAGAATGTCTAAAGTCATGCCAGACGAATTTAATTTTGTTCCAAAGACATGGATCCTCCCCACAGACTACACAGTTCTACAGAATTATGCAAAAGAAATGAAGCTGAAAAAGAAGTCAAAAACATACATAGTGAAACCCGCAAATGGTGCTCAGGGCCATGGGTAATTAGTTTTCCTTCTGTTAGCTAGGGTGCATGGATTACATTAGTACTTGTTTTTCTCTTCTGCATGTTCAAGCTCATAATGCCCATCTAATGAATGTTATTTTTCTCCTGTTAATTAGTGTTCATGGAATACATCTAATACATATTTTTTTTTCCTGTTTGCCCACATATGATGTTTTTTATGGCTAACTTTTAGAAATCAAGACCAATATTATAAACAACAGAATATTTCATCCGTACAGAAAAAAGTGATTAGATTTAAAAAAATGTATATCTCTGTTGACAAACAATCCATTGATTTCTGAGGTTTTATAACAAAGTATTTGCTTCTCCTACTTTGTTTATTTCGGTTTCTTATAATGAGTTGTAATTTGTATGACAAAAGTTACAGATACTGTAAACAATTTAACATTCATTTATCCTCATTTCAGAATATCTTTGTATAAAAACGCTGAGAAAATTCCACCCGCCGAGCACTTTGTGGTACAAGAATACATCGACAAGCCCTTGCTGTTAGATGGCTACAAATTCGATCTCAGGATCTATGTGCTCATAACATCTTGCGACCCCCTTAGAATTTTCCTATTTAATGATGGCCTGGTCAGGCTAGCCACGGAAAAATATCTCATCCCACATGAGAATAATATAGTGAGTGTCTGCTGCACATTTTTAAAAACATGTTTTATTGTGTGATAAATTCTGGAATCGGGTTTTTTTAATATGATTAATTTTAGAATACCTGTGTTTATACTGCTTATTCTACATTCACCCGTTTTGGCATAGTTAATTCTGGAATCATATATTTATTTAATTAATACAAGAAATTCATTTTAATTAGGCTTATATGATTAATATGAAAATCACCTGAAAATTATATAATTATATTATCGATTTTGTAGCTACCTGTAAGTGTAATAATAATTCTAGAATTCCCTTTTCATTTGATAAACAACACCATCTTTTAATTACCAATACATACTAAAATCACCTACAATTTATCAGTTACTTAAAACCTCTGATAATATTCATAATTCCAGAACCACCTCTTTATGCACTTGACAAACTACTCAGTGAATAAGCAGAGCGAATTCTATGACAAAAATACAGCACACGACACAGGCAGCAAGCGGTCTATACGCTACTTCAACGAGTACCTCCGGCGCAGTGACATAGACGGCGGCCTGCTGTGGCGCAACATTTCTGACATGATTGTTCGCACTCTGCTTGTTGCTCAGCCGCATGTGCTGCATGCGTACAGGATGTGCCGGCCTGGGGTGTCACCAGGCAGTGATAGCGTTTGCTTTGAAATTCTGGGGTTTGATATAATGATTGATAGGAAGCTGAGGCCTTGGTTGCTTGAGGTACGTGAGATCAAGGAGTTAATGATTATTTAAAGGAGTTTACGATTATTTTGTAGATATTTTCTGCCTACACCATGCTCAGAAAACTGATAAACTCACTTTCATTTGACCCCATAGATCGTTAGTTTTGAAAGAAAACTGAACTCTACTATGCTGAATAAGTTTTAAAATATTCTTTAAAATTAATATAATTTAAGAAAAGATTTCAAAAGCATGTTATGTTAGAAATAACACATAAGAAAAATTATTTTGTTAGTTTTCAGAATATAAAAGAAACTTTCTTTTCAATATTTGTTTATAAAAATATATTTGAAAAAGTTTTGAAACAATGATTTTATTAAGTAATTGAACAGAAGCTTATTCCAAGTTTTGGTAAATCAGAAATGAAGAATAATTGAAAATTGTTTCCTTGTTTACAGGTTAATAGATCTCCAAGTTTTGGCACAGATGAACATTTAGATTTGGAAATAAAATCAGCCTTGTTGGAAGACACCATCAGGCTTCTAAATATGAAGTATGTTGTTAAAATCTATTTCAATTTTTTTTTCTCGTATTTGCATATATCCTTGGCTACCATCTGGCTTTTAAATATGAAGTATGTTTATAAAATTAATTTACCATTAGTTATTACTTTCTTTTCTTATTTGCTAGTAGCCTTGGCTGCTAGACTGTATGTAGAAAAATCACTACCATGATACCATTTTATTCTTATACTACAAAAACAAGCAACCTTTTTTTTTTAAAATAATTTTATCTGATAGTTTGTTCTTTGATATTGTATTATTCATGTGATACAATTAATTTGAAAATGTTTGTTCTTTAGAGTTGGTGACAAACGTCGTAATATAGTAGCACAAAAAGCAGAGGCACAGAAACGTTTGTTTAAATCCAGTAGGAAAATTGATATACAGGATTGTTCTGAGTTTGATAGGAAAAGGTTGAACAATGAGAAGAAGAAAGAAGAATTGGTAGGTGTTGGAACTTGATCTTGCTGTTGATGTTAATACTTCTTAGGAAAATAAAGTTTACTATTTAAGACTTTGCAGTTTATAGTATCAGTTAAAGTGAGTACATTTTGTTTTATGGGACGGCGTGGCCTAGCGATAGAGTTCTTGACTTCTAACTCAAAAGTATCAAGTTCAAATCTGTGTTAAACTTAATATAATATCCCTGAGACCACCCAGCTCTGACGAACACCTAACTCATGTTAGGGAAAGTAAAGGCTGCTGGGTATAGTGCTCCCTTTATGTTCTGAGGTCACCAAAAACAGGTGTACTCTACTTCACTTGTCACATGTAATGTCAGGTTTAAAAAGGGAACATTACTTTACTTTAACATTATGTTTTGTTTTCCTTAGTAAGGACTTTGTAAGGATCAATTTGGTCACACATTTCTAGTGGAAGAAAGTCAAATACTTCACTACTGTACAGTCCTTGTAGAATTCACCTGTAAGGATAGTGTGGTCAGCACTATGTCCAGTCACTTTTATTTCCTTAATGTGCTTTAATGCACCTATTAGAGCTGAGTGGTCTTAGGGATGTCCTAAGGACTCAAGCACTAAATCTGAACTCTACCATGAACTTTACTTCCTCCATCCCATTGATCAATCATCAGTGACTTTACAATCAGTTAAAACTATTCTTAGTTAGTCAGTATTATTTACTTTAACTGTAACTGTTTGATTCTCTTTAACCTGCTAATGACAAATAAACATGTTCTATTTCCTACAGACAGAACTCTTGAATCGTTTGCGCAAAATGACTGCCAAGGAAGATTTTGAAAGACGGCACTCTGGCCAGTTCAAAAAGATCTTCCCTTCAGATGATAAAGCCAAACAAGAAAGATATTGTAACATTATGGCCCAGACCTTCTCTACCTTTCTCTCCAGGAGAGGTGTCAGCATGCAGAAGGAGATAGAGGTGTACTACAACAATAAGTACAAGGTAGTGTATACATTAAAACAGTGTGGTAGAGATGTACTTTGTAGTGTGTACATAGTGTGGTAAAGGTTTACTATAATAATAAGTACAAGGTAGTTTGTACATTAAAACAGTGGGGTAGAGGTGTACTATGTAGTGTGTACATAGTTGGAGTGGTAGAGGTGTACTACAATAACAAGTACAAGGTAGTGTGTACATTAAAACAGTGGGGTAGAGGTGTACTATGTAGTGTGTACATAGTTAGAGTGGTACTACAATAACAGGTACATGGTAATGTGTACATCAATTTAGAGGAAGTGTGACAGGTGTATTACAATATGTACAAGGTAGCATGTACATTAATTGAGAGGCAGTGGTAAAAATTGTGTACCAACAGTAAGTACAAAGTTTTGTGGAAGTGTGTAAATGTATGATATGGTATGTACAATCAATGTAAAGCAGTTTACAATAAGTTTGAGCCTCTGTGTAAAATAAGTGTGTGGTAGTTTGTGCAGAAATGAATACAAAGATATGTACACTAAACAAAAATTCTCTCTGATTCGCAATACACAATCATCCAGTGGTCTATTAGACTATGGAGCCATATATTTTTAAGTAAAGTTTAATTTGTATAAAACTGATGGTGTGGTGCCTTGTTTTAGGAAGAGGACATCCTAGACATGCTGGCTGAATGTGAGTTGGATGAGAAAGAGTCTCGGCTTTATCCTGCAGGAAAACCACCTAGAGGTCCAAAGGTGGGAAAATTTATTCAAACTTACAACCTCTTGGAAGCTTATTTCCAATTTTGTAATGAATATCTTGCTGATTGTTTTTATTTAATTTACATGTTAGTTTTTTTAATAAATGTCAAAAAAAAATTTTTGTCCAAAAAAGTTTACACAGTAATTTAAAACTAAGATTATAGTCCAATTATGAATTTATTACACACACTTTAATAGCTTTTTTTAATATTGAAGCTCACATTTTAACTCCTGATTTATTTTTATATCGATGTGCGGAATGGCTAATGAAGTTTGAAAGGCATGTTCTGCCCCCATCCCACTATTTTTCTTAAAATTACTACTGTTAAAGGATTGTTAAGTTTAAATTCACATTTGTAGAGTTGAGATGGCAGAACATCTTTGACTGCTTTTCCAAGTTAATTTGTAATTATAACAATACTTACCTTTATAATAAAGTATTTTAACCATGTAGCTGATGACAAAAATATTGTTTTTAGCCTCTGCAGAGCATGCCTGAGTCAGTGCCTACAACCAACGATGGTGAAGAGATTTATGACAGTGATACCAGTTTCCCCAACTCCGCCGATCTCCGAGCCCGGTCTGCTTCAAGAACCAGATCCCAGGGAGGGAGAAAGGACAGCAGGAGTCCGAACTCCCGCCCGGCGTCTGGCCAACCGGTTAAACTAGGCAACAAGAACGTGTTTGCCCAGCGTCCGCAGAGCCAGACGACGTATGGCCAACACACGGCTAGGAGTATGTACAAGGCTGGGAGCACTAACAAGCTGACTGCTCTGCAGCGATCAGATGTGGTAAGTTGGGGGGGGGGGACGGGACTCAGGGAGTATGTAGCAGTCTGACTGAAACACTTATACGCTGACTGTTGTGTTACAATCATATGTGGTAAGTTGGGGTGAGGGGGGGGGACACAAGAATGTATGTAGCAGTCTGGAACACTTATACGCTAACTGTTGTGTTACAATCATATGTGGTAAGTTGGGGTGAGGGGGGGGGGGGACACAAGGAAGTTTGTAGCTTGCTGGAAGCAGTTTTAAGCTTACTGTTGTGCCACAATCAGATGAGGTGAGGTAAGTGGGGGGGGGGGGAGGAGGGAGAACACAGGGAGTGCTAACAAGCTGTGTCCTGTTAATGATCCTTATTCAAACCAATAGTGACAGTGGAAAGAAAATGTGAGTTAAGAAGTTTTACTTTAATTGCACCATAAAACATGGAATAAAAGTTTACCTTTTCAAACCTATCAGCTGGTGGGGCAGATGATGTAGAGGTTCACATGTTTCTCAGTTTCTGTGACCTTCGCATATGAAGGGATAGTGTAATACTACACCCAACCACTTTTACTTTCACTTTATGTGAGACCAGGAACCCATCAGAACTGGGTGGACTTAGGGTCCTCTAAAGCAGGGGTCTCCAAACTTTTCAGCCCGAGGGTCGCATTAACTATCAAATATAAGTTCGGGGGCCAGAGATTCTTCCAGGTATATCATTGGGGTGGCATTGTTCCGCACCCACCTGCAACAAACATTTTTTTCCGTGGACAAAAAGATCTCCGAGGGCCTGATGAGAGGACCTCGCGGGCCGGATGCGGCCCGCGGGCCTTAGTTTGGAGACCCCTGCTCTAAAGGACTCAAACCATAGATCTAAACTTGAGACTTTTGGTTCAGCTTTACTGTCCGACCATGCTGTCTCATAAACAAAGCTATCATTAAACAAGTTTTAAAAAGTTCTAAAACTGCTGCATATCAGCTTTTATAAGGATATTTTTTAATCATTCAAAGTTGTTTACTTTGTGAGCATTGCATTCTTTGATATAACATCAACATCAGATCTACTCACTTGATGTTACTAAATAATAAATAAACACACACAAAATTCAAAATATGGATTTGCCTTCTGATTTTGTCCAGGATGAAAATTTGCTGAATCCAGTTGTGAATGAACAGGAGAATGAGATGTTGGTGAAGACGCTAGACTCACTGAATGAAATGAGAATTAAATTTCCAGGGAAGTCAGATATGGAAGCAGAGTACATGCTGGATCAGGTGGGGGAAAATTCACAATTTCTTGCCAATTTTTTTCAGTCAAATCTCTGTTTGCGAGTTCAGGCTAGTTGCACGCAGTATAAAATTTTAGTGCAACATTTTGTAGTATAGAGTTGAGTTCTCACAATTTCTTGCCTATTTTTTTTAGTCAAATTTTGTTAATAAGTTCAGACACATTTTACAGACAGCGGGAAATGTTGTAAAGTGCTTACATAAGATTATAAAATGTCTAGAGTTAAATGTTATGTTATGTTATGTCATCCTTCTAAATAAACCTGATGACAAACCAACTTTTTACTCAAGGTCTTGGTTAACCACGTCTACCCCCGACCTAGCTTTTGCTACTAATGGCATATCCAAAAAATGCAAAAGAGAAGTTGCAGATCAACTAGTCACTAGCGACCACCGACCAATCCTGATCCAGATAGAAACATCAAACAGGCCAATTGAAGCCTACCCCCGCCCTAGATGGAACTACAAAAAAGCTAATTGGGAGCTCTTCTCTTCCCTCACAGACTCCTACACAAGACCAATAAACTGTAAAACCAATCAGGTGAACAAGTCATACTCAGCCTTCTCAAAAGCAGTTCTGTTAGCAGCCAAAAAATCTATTCCAAGGGGAGCAAGGAAAAATTATATCCCAAACTGGACTCCAGACCTCCAGATACTCCATGACGAGACAATTGATGCTAGAAATATTGTTGAAGATAATCCCACTGTAGAAAATAACATAAAATTAAAATCAGCAAACGCAGTTTTTAGAAAAAAGTATCTAACTGCATTGAGGAAAAGCTGGCAAGAAAAAACAGAACACCTCAATGTAGATAGAGATGGTCATAAACTATGGAGTATTGCAAAAAGGCTAAACCAAGAAGAAAACAGAGCTACTCCCATAGTCATCGACATTGAAAACACGATCAAAACAGAAAAGGATGCAGCAAAAGAATTTATAACCCACTTCAGCAAAGTGGGACAAATAAATATCAGCCACCAAAGAGTAGAAGAGGTTAAAAATCAAACTGAAGTTAAAGAAAAACTACAGAAAGTCTCTCCCCCCTCCTCCACTGGAATGGTAGCTCGAATTAGCAAGAAGGAGCTTGAAGAAGCAATGAAGCTCCTCAAACTTAAGCAAGCTCCAGGCCCTGACAAAATCTCAAATGATATGCTCATGCACCTGGGCCCCAATGCTAAGAAAAAACTGCTCCAAATATTTAATGCAAGCTGGAAATCTGGGAAAATCCCAAATATTTGGAAAAAAGCAATCATGATACCTGTTCTAAAAATAGGAAAACCCAGGAACAAAGTCGATAGCTATCGCCCAATAAGTTTAACAAGCTGCGTTTGTAAACTGATGGAAAGAGTAGTAAACAACAGACTGACCTGGTTTCTAGAATCGAACAATCTACTAGCAGACGAACAGGCAGGCTTCAGGAAGTGCAGATCTACTGAAGACCAAATCACCTTCATTTCTCAGGAAATAGAAGATGGCTTTCAAGAAAAAAAACCAACCTCAATAGTGTGGGTCGACTTTGAAAAAGCCTTTGACAAGGTTTGGGAGCAAGGCTTAATTCTAAAACTAATAAACCATCAAGTATCTCATAACATGCTAAACTGGATAAAAGGTTACCTAAGCAACCGAAAAGCATCAGTCTCCATGCAAGGAAAAAGAAGTCACACAGTAACTATAAAAAATGGAGTCCCTCAAGGAGGAGTCTTGTCTCCTACTCTCTTCCTCATTTATATAAATGACCTAAATGAAAACATCCCAAGGAGAGTAAAAAGAAGCATGTTTGCAGACGACCTTTCACTAATCAGCACAGAGGAATATATTGGTACCTCAAAATTTCGTCTTCAAGAAACACTTGACAAGCTCGGCAAATGGACCAAAAACTGGGGCTTATCCATCAATACCAAGAAAACAACTTATTCAATCTTCACCTTATAAACTAAACATCAAAAAATGAAACTTACCCTAGAAAACCAAGAGCTAGAAAAAAATGACCACCCCAAATACCTAGGAGTCACTTTTGACACTCGACTTACCTGGAGAAAACAAATAGAAAACACACAAAGTAATGGGATCAAAAGACTTAATCTAATGAGGAAACTGGCAGGAACAGACTGGGGAGCAAATCACCACATCCTGAAAAAAACCTACACCAGCTATGTGAGACCTACGTTAGAATATGGTGCTTCGGCTTGGGGCTCAGCAGCAAAAACAAATATTAGCAAAATTGACAAAGTTCAGAACATTGGATTGAGAATAATGACAGGAGCCATGAAAACAACACCCATAAAAGCTATGGAGGAAATAGCCGCTCTTAGCTCAATAGAAGAAAGAAGAGAATCAAAAATCCTCACTCAATACACAAAGCTAGAGGCACTGGAAAACCATAACCTAAAACAAAAACTCCAGAAACCCAGTCCATCAACCAGACTACAAAGAACAAGTTTCATCAAAGAAGCAAAGAATCTGAAAAAGAAATATGAAATCGAAAATATCATTCCTGAAGCAATAAAAACTCAAAACCTCTCCCCGCCTTGGATCTCCCACTGTCACTTAACCATTATTGACTCAATAGACACCATAGGAAAAAAATCTGACTATGATCTAGAAGAACTTAGGAAAATAACAAATAAACACATTAAGGATCAGTACCCCAGCAACACCTGGACTAGAGTTTTCACAGATGGCTCAGCTGAAGATGCCACAAAAAACGGTGGGGCTGGCATACTTATTGAATGGCCAAGCGGAGAAAGCCTGGAAAAGGCAATAGCCACAGGCAGCCTATCCGACAATTTTAGGGCAGAAAAAGAAGCTTTAGAACACGCAGCAAACCTCCTGTCAGAACACCCTGAATCACCGAATAGTCAGATTGTATTCCTTACAGATGCCAAATCAGTCCTACAATCCCTTCAAAATCCGGAGTCCTATATCCAAACACTTATGACAGCACTAGAGAGGCTTAAAAATACCTGCAGCAGAATTGTGCTGCAGTGGATCCCGGGCCACTGCCAGATCCAGGGTAACGAGATCGCAGACCAGCTGGCAAAAATTGGGGGAAAGAAACCACAACCGGAAATTTCGCTACACCCAAAAGAAATAAAAAGAATAATTAAAAACAAACAAACGCAAATGTGGTCTGTCACACACCCTCACTACATTAAAGACGACGGCTATTACAATTTAACACGAAAACAACAATACATAATCTTTCGACTCAGAACAGGCCACAACAGACTAAATCAACACATGCACAAAAAACTGAAGGTTGGGTGTAGCGAAATGTGCCCTTGTGGCAAGGCCCCGGAAAACACTGAGCACGTACTCCAGGATTGTACTCTGTATAGCCAGGCAAGAGGCAGACACTGGCCCCAGCCCACCCCACTCAGGGAAAAACTATATGGGACACCTGACAAACTGGAAACCACAGTCCGGTTTGTCCACGAAGTTGGTCCTGTTGTCTGAATCCTCCACCATATTCAAAAATTAAGAACGAAGAAGAAGAAGAAGAAAAATGTTATGTTATGTTTATTGGCTTAGGTTAACGGCTTGAGTTATAAATTAATATATTTTATTGTATATCTAACATAGCAGCAATGATTATGTATTCAACATTTTCATAAAATTTCAAGTTTTAAAATATCTGTTGTGTGCATTACAATTTTTTCAATGAATTACATTGTCCACTATTTTAGAAATCTCATTTTTATAATTTAATAATAAGGTTAAATTTATTTCTTATCTTTTTTCAGTTGACTGAAAATTGGAAATTTCATAAACCAAGGATAGCTTCCTATTGGCTAGTGAAATTAGATTCAATTAAACGCAGAAAGGTAAACAGTTTTTGAATACTTCTAATTATATATAAATGAATAGGCCTACTCATAACTGGGATTGATTATTTATTAAATATTATTTATTTTTACATAAGTTAACTTTTATTTTTAAAAATATAAAACAACATGCAATAGAAATATTAGTCCTTATTTATTTAAAAATGGAAAGTGTGAAAGTGATTTTTTACCTTTCACAATTAGATTGTAGATTCATGCCTCTTACATGTACCCACTGGTGATATAGATATATTTCAATATAATGTACATATATATCAATAAATAATAATATAGATATAATGCACTTTAACAAATAATTTAACATTGATAAATACAATTTAATTTATATAGAAAGTTATATAGTAAAAAACAATGAATTTTATCATATGTGTAGATTAAAGATATAGTAAAAATCAAATAAATTTACATGCAGGTTATAGATAAAGCAATGAATTGACATGCAGGATATAGATTAAGCAATGAATTTACATGTAGGATATAGATATAGCAATGAACTTACATGCAGGATATAGATATAGCAATGAATTTACATGCAGGATATAGATATAGCAATGAATTTACATGCAGGTTATAGATATAGTGAAAACCAATGTGAGAGCTGTACTACAGAGAGTCTGGAGAACTTCCGACATTGAAAACCTCCGACTCAATAGGATATTCGGCCGTGTGTTCAACCGCTTGCTTTGGAGTCATGGCCAAGGATTGTGGAATTGTTTCTCATCAGGCCAGTAAGTCTGAAATGTTTGCTTGATATCTTATATTGTGAGAGTCAGTCTGAAATGTTTGTTTATTATTTTTTATTGTGACAGTCAGACTGAAACAAAACATTTGTTTTATATCCAATGTATTCACAACAAAATATTTCACCTTTAGCTGGTGATTTAGTTTGAATTTAATTCACAGCTATACTGTCAATCATCTTTAAGTTGTAGTTGAGAATTGAGAGTACTATTTTTTAATCAAGTGTATGTTAGGTGTTAACAATACTTCTTAGTTTTATTATTAGCTATAGTATTAGGAGCAAATTTTTACTTGAATATTGATGGATATTATTTTAATACTGAGGTGCTGTACGTACGCCACATAAGTTTTTTCAACAGCTTTTTTACCAAAACAAATATTCAAAATGGCAACAATAAAATGTAATGTTAGTTTCCATTTGTGTTAACCATTTTGAAAAATCTGGCACTCTTTATCTTTTTCTAAACTCGCAGCCATTCATGGGAGACAATATTCAGTAAAAGCAGTGAGAACATTGCAGAGAGTGAGATGAACTGCTGCCGAAGGATCGTTCAGCTTTGTAAAGACTGCCTTCTTATAGTTTACAAGTTTGCCGATGAGGCAAAGAACCAAAGCGTCAACAACGAACAGCAAGACCAGACACAGCAGCACCGCCTGCAGTTTGAGAACAGGTCACTTTTACAGCAGTCTCATGGGTGAGCTGAGAATCTTTTTTACTTTCTCGTATATACGAAGTGTAGAGAAAGTCTTGTAATCGTGCAAAAAAAAATGTTTACAAATCTCAACGTTTTACACCTCCCTGAGTCGGAAAAACATATTTTTGCAATCGTGTCCGTATGTCTGTGTATGTGTGTGTCTGTAAACATGATAACTTGAGTACCGTTACAGCTAGGTTGATGAAATTTCATATATAAGTATTTTATCAAAAGTGTAGATCCATATCAACTTTAAAGCAATTTCCGATAACTGGAAGTGGTACTTTTTCTACTTTGAATTTTTTCAAAAGCCTATAACTTGAGTACTATTTCAGATAGATAAATGAAATTTCAAATGTAAGTAAAAGATCTACTCCTCTACCTTCTATCAAATTTTGAGTAATTTCTGTTGACCGGAAGTAGTAATTTACACTCTTTCCTATTTCTCAAAAAACTCATGTAAATTTATAAAGTACTAATAATATTCCTCACTATTATATACATTTTGTTTTGGCGTTCGTTTGGAGCGCAATTCTTTTTTCTACGAGATTCTATTCTATTTTCAAAAGTTTAAGTAATTAAAAAACATGTCTATATTTCGAGTTGCCATCCCACATAGTGTTATATAAGAATATTCAAGAAAGTTTAGGGGAGATCACTCCCAGTTTATTCTAAAACTCTAAAGGTTTTGTTACAACAGTCTCAGGGGTGAGCTGAGAATCTTTTTTTCTAAAACTCTTAAGGCTTTGTTATCAAATTCCCCAAGTTGTGAGGGATGGTGCGGTTGAATGATAGAGCATTTTTGAGAACAGGTCACTTTAACAGCAGTCTCAGGGGTGAGCTAAAAACAAAATTTCTAAAACTCTAAAGTTTGTGCTGTAAAACTCCAAGTTGAGAGGTGTGTTTGAATGGTAGAGCGTTCAACTGCTAAATTGAAAGTCTCATCTGTACGTCATTTCTCAGTCATCTCAACGCTGATGGGCACCTGATTCAGGGAATGTAAAGGTGGTTGGGCACAGTGCTGACCACACTATCCCTTCACATGTCACTGAAACAGGTGAACTCTACTTTACCTGCCACTGTGGCCGTAAGGTTCGAAAGGGTGCTATATTTTGTTCTCAAGTTGTGAAAGTTTTGCATAAAAAGTATATATACAGAAATTCCTATTTTTACTTATTCAGATATTTTGGAGTTCGAGATATCAAACTCCCTGTAAACTGGAACAATTACACATCAAATCCTTACAGTCAGAGATACAACAAGCTGTACCAACAGTCCAGTTTCAGCACCCCCTGATGCCTGCTGACAGTTCATTCACAATGTTCAAAAATTGTTTCAAATATTTCAGTTTGCACTTTGTGAACATTTGCTGCTAAAGTAAATCAATAGCATAATTTTTAAGCTTCTGTTTTTATTTATTTGTTATGGGTAATCATTAACGATTTAAAATGTTGAGTAAGTAGTACTACAAGTAGATGTTTACTTCAACTGAAGACAATTTTATTTTAAATTTCAGTGTACCTAATATTCTACAGTAAACATGGTAATATTAAACATTAAAGTAATTGTTTTTAAGACTATTGCACATTTAAATAGTATAAAATATACAATGTTGATTTCTGTTAATTTTTTTTAGATCTTAGCTTGGTTAATTCCCTCATTTCATAAGGTGCTTTACAAGAGTTAAATTTGTTATTTAAATAATGTATTTTTTTAACTTACATTTCGCTAATTTTAAAAAGTAAATTGTTTTAGATTGGGGATTTAAACAATACCTCTTTTTGTTTTCACATCTTAATTTTACAACTATGGGAAAGTTGTTCTGCTAAATGACTATTTATTTATCCATCGCTGGACAATCAATTGCTAATCAGCCAAAATATTTATTGTTTAAAAATGAGTTGATCATCAGTCTGCCAGCTAGATTGTCATCAGATGAATTTGAAAGCTGTGTTAATTGTACCATCAGACAGAATCTGTCTCAATCACTATGTCAATAATCACCTGTTTTGAATGTATATATATATATTTATATGCATATACACTAAGCTTTTGAAATTCACAACAAATTACAATATTTGTAATTTTACACAGGGAGTTTGTATGTGCATACATTTCAATAATGCATTCAATCTACAGAAAAATTTGTACTTGTATTATGCACATATTTTACTCATACTTTTCCAATATTTATTTCTGGTAACAAATTAATTTGCCAACCAAGATGTACAATATACTGTGTTATTTTTCTGTATTTTATTCCAAAATCAAAATTTATCAATTGATTCCTTAAAATAGAAACTAAATGTCTTTCAGTTAGAACATCAATATACTTTTAACTTACATTTTCTGAAGGTGTGTGGTGCATACTTCTTCAATTGAAATCAATTTGTTAATTTAAAATATTTAGCGTTTAGGAAATGAACAAAGGGTTTAAAATATGTTACATTTTTAGTAATTAATTGGCTGCATTTAAAACAAATTATTCCTTATTTAACTGAAATAAAATGACAAAACATCTTAAGATAATCTAACAATAGTACCTTTACTTTCTCTAACATCATTTTACCAAGTATTATATATAACCATCATACATGTTTATTTTTTACAACATTTTGATTAGAATTATAAATGCCAGTAATTAATGGGGGTTTTTTTTATTTAATAGCATTTCACATTACTTGAATGAGTTTATAATTTTTTTTTAACACACAAGGTTTGCCATTCTTTTGATTTGTTGCATTAGTTTATTTGCTATTCATCTTGCAACTTTTTTATCATCCTGTTTGGTTGGGATTTTTTTATATCATAAGCACATGTTAGAATGTAAATGTAACTCATATGAATTAACATTGACTACTTATTATGTATTTGGAACAATTAATACTTTACATATAAAACGTTAACAAAATAACTCTGTTATTGTTATATTGTTTTTCTTTAAATAGCTAAATTATTTTCTAAATTAAAATTGTATCCTAGTCAACACAGTAGACTATGCACTATTTTTACATATTAGAACACATCAGTGAAATTTTTCTTTGTAGATATATTAAGAAATTTATTTAACACTTTCCACAAAAATTTATTTTTAGGAACTTTTGAGCCATCTAAAGAAATGAATACGTGTTATGTTACTTGTTTGGCATGTTTATACATTATTGTAAATTATGCCTTTTACTAACATCAAATCAAAAGTTATTTTATAAAAGATAATTGAAAACTGTTTTTTACTACATCTGTTTTCAATAAAAAAAACAAAGACTTTCATAATTTTTCGTAATAAATTTCTAATTACATTTCTAAAAAAATGATTGCTCTTGTTTATTTTCTACAAGCTACTATACTTATAAGTAGAATAAAATGGAAATCTTTGATATGGAGACAGCCCCCAAACTACTAACAGAATTATAAGATATTCATTCAATGAAGTATTAAGTTCTCCATTAGTCCATAAGATGGCTGAGGTGTCATCCATAAATAACGTCACTTTTTTTTTGACAATTTTTACCTCTCCCCCCTCCCCTCAATCACACGTCACAAAAAGCCAGACACCTAAAATAACGTCACACCTCAGCCTATAACCCCCATTCAAAATTGCTGTTGAATTTTTCTTAAAACGATATTTTTCGAAAATTTTGTCAGAACTGTCAACATTGAGTATTTTGATCAATTCTTATTACAATTTATTAAAACCGTTTTCTAAAATGCAAAATGACTAAAACTCGTTTTCTAAAATTGCTTTTTATAATGCAAAAGTGTGACTTCACACCATCTAAACCCTCCCCCTCATCATACACTGTCTCATAATTACGGAACTCCCATCCCCCACCTACAAGGGATGTCATTTATGGACGACCCCAAATCTTATTGACAAGAAAGGTTACCTACATCATCATATCAGTTCCTTTTATGAAACTCACAAAATTCAATCTCATTTGTGATAATGATCGTCTCTTCATAACAAAGCAGTGTCACATGAGGTTGCTAAAATGCTACATCCATTGTGGAATAACATTGTGTAAAACTATTGTATTCAAATTTAAATGAAAGACACATTTGCACATAGTTTAGGCATTGCACTCCCTGAAGTTTTTCTCTACGCTACTTGAGAAAGACAATTAGCTAAAACAGATGAAGATTGGTGGAAGAAAAACATGGCAAATAATATCTATGAGCAGCCCAGAAATTTTTTAAATTTAAATGTCATTCTGTTACTTTAAAAGCATTAAAATTCTAAAAACAGTGTTAAACAGTAATGAAATGTTTTCTCTAAACTTTTTTATAAAGTGTTACACATTATAAAACAATTTTTTTTCTCTGAGAGTTTTGCTACATATAAATATTGATGGTTTAATCCATATTGCAGAACCTAAGTACAGATTGCTGGTTTGATTGTGCAGCAAGAAATGAATTTATGCATGTAAACAGTTATAAGGATTTTTTTTTTCAAATATTACTCTCAGCTTAAGAGATTACCAAATATTTTTTTTTGGGTCTGCCAACTTTTGAAAATTTTAGAAAGGAATTATTACACAACCAAAAAAAAAAATGGGTGCAAGTCACTAAAATAAAACAATGCTAATACTAATACATATGTTACGATGAAGGAGATATAATAAAAACAAGCCAATAATAATTTCAATAATATTTTATTTACAAATTTATTTGTTTTATCAAGAAACAAAAAGCTTAAACATTTCACTTTTAGAATTTTACTTAGATAGTCAATTTTTATTTTGCAAAATTGTTGATGCCATAATTAAATAATTGCCCAAATGATTTAACACCTGCAAATAACTTCAACATACATATTAGTTTGGTTTCAAAACATCAACCATAATTTACTTTTTTAACAACCAACGAAATAATTATGTACATAAAATTTTAACATGGTTACCAACACATTGTTTATTGTCATAAGCTATAAATGTATCCTACAACAAAACGGCTTTGGTTAAGGTGAACTAAATGCATCAAAGATCTGTCCTAGCCCTAGTTCAGTCAAGGCATCTCTTATGAGCATAATAGAGTCACGTTCTGCATCTTCCTCCTGTTGGAACACAGGAATAAATTTTGTCATTAAAAGCACATTTTTACAAATACTATTCATCAATAATTGTTTGAGATGCACATAAACGTAATTTATTCTTGAATATACAAGTAATGATACCAGAACAGATCAGTATAGAAACAAAAAGGCTACAACAAATTTCAATAGCTCAAAATGGATTCAACAATCATATTTTAAACCTTCAGTAAAAAAAAATAGTGTTTATAAAAACAAATTTAAATAGAAGAGGATTATTTTAGATCAAATGTTGAAAACTTAAAGCTTTGAAAAAAACCTTATATGCATTTAACAAAACCAAATGTATGATTTCAGACTGCATATTTTAATTATGCAAGTACATATGTGTATAAATCTACTCACCTGCCAAACTGTTATCATATTAAATGCTGACTCAGCCCCACCATCAAAGGAATCCTTAAAGTATGTCAGATCATCAGGTGGTATCTGCAGCTTCTCCCCCAGGGCCAGCCACTGAGATCCTACCTGGTCAGCCACTGTGCGGATCTGGTCCCTGGTCAGATGCTGTTGTGGACTGCTCTCATCTGCAAGTTCACAGTCGGTTTTATTTTCACATTAATTTTAATACTTTGAAGTATAATTGCTACCCTAAAATTATGCAGTAACATTCCCAGTTATTTCCCTTAGTCCGCCCATTTCTGATGAATGTCTAGTTTGAGTTATAGAAGATCAAAGCAGTATGTAGAGAAGTTACATATGCCAGGATACAAGAAAACATCAGCCCTATTGACTTTGTTTTGCTTACCCTGCTCATTTCTCATGTCCTCTTCATCATGATCCTCATTGTTGTCTTTGATGTCATCGTCCTCGTCAGCAACAGCCATTACAGTCTTGGGCTCAGCCATATGGTGCTGCTATAATAGAAGACAAAAAGATCACATATACTGGAGTGAGGACTACTAGGTTTTACCAAGTCCATTAAGCCATAGGTTTTTTTTTAAATAGGGTTCAGAAATTTTAGTTATCTTACAGATTTTAAGCTATTTTGACACTTGTTTTTTTTTTGCAAAAACTATTGAAGGTTAAGGGTATGATTCTAACAAGGCAGTATTGTGTACATCCTGTCAATGTTTAAGTACCAAAAAAAAATCTGTCCACTTACAGGGTTGATTTCTTTGGCCATCTTATCCACAATATCCTTCAAATGTACAGTTATTGGCAAGCCAGGGGTGTTGGTGTGGACAAAGAAATGAGGTGAGGATCGTGCAAGCAGACGATACGCTTTCCACTGAAAGTTCTGTTGGTTGATGTCCCTGTAAAGTTCATAAAATATTTTACATTTTATTTTTACGTACAAAAGTGTAAAAGACAATTCCCTAGAAGTTTGGTAAAAAAATTGATTGAAATGAAAAAAAAACATACTTGTATTGCTCTTCTACCATAGCCTCTGGGTCAGCCTGTTCTATGGCATTAGCAAAGAAGTCATCCAACTTTGGTAAAAACACACGTGAATCTGCCTTAGCTGCCTCCATGTTGTCAGGATTCAAGTTCCATAACCTTGTCAATTCAGAGTTACCCAGTTTCAGAGATTTCCCATTTGATGCCAGTAAGTCATCTCCAATTCTTTTTCTTTTTGGTCTAAAAATATGAGCATTTTATTTTCAGTTTTTGATAATCTTAAGACATCAGCTCAGATGAATCTTTCATCTTAGTAAATAATTGAAAATTGTAAAGTAAGTTAACACTGAATCTGACAACTTACATTTTGTTAAAAAAAAAATAGTTATTCAAAACTCATTTTATAATTCTTTCACCACTTTATAAATCTCATTTATAACAGAAAAACTAAAGCAATGAATTTCATATTTTCTAGAAATATCACTTGCCAAAATTTTGTAATAATGGATACAAATTAATTTCAGTTTCTATTGAAATTATTCATAACTCAATCCTATTTTTTTTTATAAATAGCAACACTAGTTGTATTCCTTGCTACATTAAAATATAAAAAAAAACAAAAACATGCAAAAGTCATGAATAATTAAATTTGTAAAACTCGTTACTCACCTAGCTTTAGGCTTGACAAGTTCTTTCCTTTCTTTAATGAAATTTGGACAACTGTCATTTTTCCAGTTGTTCCAATGCTCTTCACGCTCCAATATATGCTGTGTTTACACAAGAATACAAGACATTAGTTAATCTGCATTTATCTACAAAACTATTCATTTAATTTTCTACTGAACTCTCAGGACCAGCTTTGTGAAAGCCAGACTGGCAATTGTGACATCAATTGTCTCACTATCAACAGAAGCCATAAAAACTTCTGTATCAAGCAAAAACTCAGGGCAAGGATGGTTATCATCATAGAGTATTAACAAAAAGGTTTGAGGCCGATATAAATAAAATAAACAATTTTTAACAAACCTTGACAAAACTGCAGAACTGTTCTCCACAAGGGGGAGTTTCACAAAGTAATTTACTGACTTTCTCTTGAGATTCTTTGATCCACTCGGACTGTTCATCTGTTAAGGTGTGGTTGACGCTAATAGAATGCCAAATAAGAATTAAAATGTAAAAAAATTGTTTATTTTCAATTGTATTATCAGCTGTACCCATAAAAATAAAAACAAAAATATCTTTCAGTTAGAAAAAAATACATTTTAAAAAAACCGCTAAAGATTTTTTTTACTAAAAATTGAACCATAGATAATCTTAAAATTCATACTGTATGTAGGCCTACATACGTTTTAAACTTGATTGTTGCTCGTAAATACTGGAATATTATAAGAAACTGTACAAGGACGTATCGACGGAAGTTACTGTCATTTAGTTGCAAGTTCAAAAGCTGAAAAAAATAATGTTTTATAGAATTAACAATAAGCAGCTCTAAGAAAATCTGATTGTAAAGCAAGGTATTTGATAAGAAATTTTTTTTCAAATACTTGGATAAAACTCACCTTTTCACTGGTCAAGTACTTGGCAAAAAAGTTCTGTGCGTGTTTGTGCACCTGTGGTTGAGTGGGTCCCTTCTTTCTACTTGACGATACATCATCCAGTTTGTAGCTTGCAAATATAGACATCACATCTCCTGCATTCTGGTTGAAATGACAAACCAATGAAGGAAGAAACTACAAGCTTAACTTACACACACATACAAGTTACTTATTCAAGGCAACATAGAACAAAACTACAAGCTTAACTTACACACACATACAAGTTACTTATTCAAGGCAACATAGAATTAACTACACAGAATAGTTTAATTTAAAAGGAAACTGACTTGTGAAAATACATCCCACTGTGTTTTGTCGTAACACAGCAATGGTCGCCTAAAGAAATCTTGCAAGGCCCAAAACTTTCTGTACAGGTGGTAGTCGATTGGTATTGAGCTGAAAATGTTTTGTATAAATCATGTGATGGCTTTTTGTCATTGTTTTATTCAAGTTGCAGGTTTGAAATTCAAGTTTCAGTTGACCTCAAAAAAATCTTTTTACCTAGACTGGCTGACATCTTCCACTTCCATGACCTCACCCTGAATAAAAAAAAATAATTACATTTTACCACAAAAATATGCAATGTTTTAAAACATAAAAAAACACCACTATCTTACAAAAGGTAAGGTATTCTTTTTAAAAAATTTGAGTCTATAGAGGATCTTGACAATCCTTTAGTCAGCCACATACTGTGATATCCTATTGCAAACTTAAGTTAATCTATTGCAAGCACTACCACTCAATCATGGTTTCTAAGAATTCCTTCAATAAATCAATCCTTAAAATATGTTAACTTTTAATTAAAGAACAGTGAAAAAAATCCTTTATATGTGTATTATGTAAACTCTCAGGACCAGCTTTGTGAAAGCCAGACTGGCAACTGTGACATCAATTGTCCCACCATCAACAAAAGCCATATAAACTTCTGTATCAAGCAAAAACTCAGGGCAAGGATGGTTATCATCATAGAGTCTACATTAAATTATATATTCTAATAGATATGCACATGACTAGTGCATAATATACATAATATGCAAGTAAAAATAAGATATGCTTTCTCTAACTGTTATTTTTATTTGGTTTTAACCATACTGCTACTTAAAGTTCCTTGATTTATATTTTATCGTTTAAAATAAAAATGTCTACATAATTTTGTAAAATAAGCAAATTTATCAAATTAAGAAAAAGTTCCTAAGAATGCATAGCTAATTTGAGTGCAATAAAAGAAAGGAATTGTTAAAAAACTTACATTTCCTTGGTTCTCTTGCTTGGCATAAATGGTTACATTCTCTAAGTTGAACTGACTTGCAAGATTCAAAGCTATTTGGAAAAAAAAAGTGAATTTTGTTTCACATAATTTTTTTAAAATGCCTTAATTAAAATAATTATTTTAGACTTTTTTTTAGAAAAAAAAATACCTGATTTTTCTGATAGAGGAAATAATCTTGACAAGAACAATTGAATTCTTCCACAAAATACTGTATTCTGAGATTTTGAGAGTCTTCTAATTAAATCTAGAGGAAAAATAATATTCTCATTATGTAAGAAAACAAAACTGACAAAATATCTAATTGCTATCCACAATAAACAAATACTATGTAAACACTTCAGTAGTTTGTGAGCATACAATTAAAGCTAGTGATAAACTTCACCGAATAAACTTTTATAGTTACAAATTAAATAAAAAGTTATCAGTCAGTTCTCACCATTGCACATTCTAAGGAGGTAGTTTTTTCCTGATTCATAGAAAGGTTCCTGAAGTGGACACATTATTTTTTATTAAGAATCATTTAATGACATAAGAATAGTTACACAAAAAAAAACCATAAAAGCAAAGCATTTTGACATCATGTTACTTGTAAGTTTGAAATTATGTGAACAATATAACAAATTAAAAACATTTATAATTACAGATTTCCAGACAGTGACTTTATCTTCCACCAGGTCAAATATATCTTCACAGTGTTTGATTGTCAGCATATCAAAGATGTCTGCCATCATGAGGAATGGTGTTGAGGGTGAACACATATCTAAACCAACAAAAAAAATTTCAAGTTAGTCACTGATATTTGGTACTCAAGTATGTGTGGCAATATGTGGGCATGGCTCATCTATAAGCACACTGGTGTTTAAATACAATGCAAGTTTATTCAAGAATTTAAGAGGTTCAAGGTGCAACAATTTAAAACACTTGCCTTGTTTCACAGCTTGAATAGCAAATGTTATGACTGTCTTTAGAACACCAGCATTTGACACATCAGACTGTTTGAAGTTTAAATAGTTAGGTAAATTTGTGTGTAAGTTAAATGTATAGAACAGTTCATAAATAGAATAAATATAACAACCCTTTTCTCAATGTTAACCAAATTTTTTAAATTTACTCTTGAAGTTGACAAGTAAATTGAAGTATAGTAGAGGAATAATTTTTATAGATATTTGTGATACCATTGTTTGTATTTTTAAACAGATCTTTCTTAACCTTATCTTCAACTGTATATCTTAAAACAAATAAAAGAATCTTATAACAAAAGTTTAGGCCTATAATTTTATACTTACTATTTTTCGACACAGGATATCTCGAAAAACCTGATCCAAGACTGTTCTTTTTTCAAGTCCACTATTAAAGATTGAATTTGAAATGCATCCAATGGATATAACATGGGCTTTCATTACCCCATCACATTAAATTTAACATTGATTGTTGCAAAAATGAAAGAAATCTGTCATATTACATCATCCAGTATTTACCTAACCATGAACTTTCTAATAAAGTAAAGGAGTTCAGATTTACCTCTACAGAAATTAGGGGATTATTTACTTATATTGGTATCTAATGAAAAAGAACCAAAGAGTACTTACATGTTATCCTGGTATTCTTCAACTTGTGCCAATAAACTTTCAACATCCCCTGTTCCAAGGGATTTTTCAAGCACATCCTATAAATAATAGAAACATTATGATTTTACAATTACATGTTATGATAGAGTTCACAGTGAAGCAACTATCCTCCATTAACCAACCTTGTGAAAAAGCAATTGGCTTGGTACCAATAATGAAAAAGTTCCATAAAAACATACCACACTCATCACACCAACTTGCCATATAATATAGTAAAATGTAGGGCCCTAATACAAATTTGAGTTATTTAAATGAAAATTCATCAGCTATTTATTAAAACTAGTTTACTTTCTCTAAAAGTTGGAGATTTGTTCAAATATTTATTTTTACTGCATGCTAGAGAGAGTGTTTTTAGACATTGAGTCTATTTAGTAAAAAGTAGGATGGAATTAGGCCTTTAAATGGATTTTTGGATGGCTGATATTAAATAGACTCTTCTGAAAATATGTGTGTTAGGTTGTTAGTTATATTGTAATTTCGTCTAGCACTAGGAATGTCATTGACATTAGCCATTCATATTATATGAATTTAGTTAACTACCACTAACCTAACACCCTTTTTTAAGAAGATTCAATTACTGTACCATTTTTTCGACACTGAAATAAATATAAGTTAGAAATCCACAGGTTTTTTACTTTCTAGTATAGTCCTACAGAGTATAGAGGAAGTATTGTAAGCATGCACAAAAATCACATGAGATTTTGATAGTTTTTACTGTTTTACTTCTCAGTACTTCAACATAGAGTATGGGGGACTTATTTTAATTGGGCAAAAATTACATTTATCAAAATTTTGGTGTTTTATCCGTAATTGAGGATAAACTGGGCTTTGCAATTCTGTCTGTATGTCTGTAAACACAATAACTTGAGTAGCCTACTGTTACAGCTAGGTTGATGAAATTTCATATACAAGCCGACCCGCGGCGAATAATACGCCGCTATTTAGTTGTTTTATTTTCTACTTTTCCGTAATTCATAATTTGAATGCTGCCACTGAAAATATTTGCTTTAAAACCCTCCTTCCCCCCCCCCCCACCCCCGTGAAAGCAGTCTCCTCTTAGTTGCCTCCCCTAAGTTTAAAATCGTTTCAAGTGACAACAGACATAAACCATATTTTAAAAATTTTGAGACATCTTTGCACTGATGTTTTTTAGGTTACCATTGGCCAACCGATCATTCAGAATGGACACAAAAGTACACACACACATACACAGGTGACAGATTATGAGATTAATCCTTTCCCCCCCCCCCCCCCCCCCTCCCCCAGCGATTGTCAGACTTTGACAGTCACACACACAGTGTTCAGTATGACATGACAAGTGTGACAGTTAATGAAGTTAATTTTCTTAGTCGCAACTCTCTGAAATTATTGCAATAATCATAAAATAGGGCAATTATTAACTATAATTAATTTAGATCTAAAACCTGAATAGCGTTTCAAGCAGAAAACTTGTTTTTTACCTTAAACTTAGCTCTAGCTCTATCGAACTCCAAAACTATTGTGTCGGATGCAGCCATTTTGTGATTGGCTGTCCAGGAATGAAATAAATTTTAAGACTAACCTTCTTTAACTTTCAAGCCCGTTTATTCTAAAGAAAGTGTGAGAAACACCAGAAAGATCTAGATATCTAGGTCTTATCATTTGACACATCAAATAGATTAGTAAAGATAGAACATCATAATAATATATCTAGGCCTAAATAAAAAGATAGATAGATTAAATCAGTTAGGTCTGAAATTTAAAAAATAAATAGGCTACTGTAATTTTTAGAATCATAAAGCGTATGTTTAACTGGCAATTGTAAGGAAAAAACATCGAAAGTGGAACTGCAACGTTTATGGGCCTAGGACCCTAGGTACACTAGATTCTAGATCTCAGGATCTATAAGCCCTACACTATACTACACTGATTGACATTGTAAAATGTAATCTATTGTCAGACAGTAATACCTGAATAAAAAGAAAATCGATCTATAGAACATTATTATAATAACCTAGACTTATGTAGTATTTAGTTCTTGTTTTTTTTCTACTTTTCAGTAATTCATAATTTGTGAATTCGACAGTACCAATGCTGCCACTGAAATATTTGCTTTAAAACACTAAAACCCTCCTTTCCCCCACCCACCCCCCAACTCCCCCCCCCCTCGTGAAAGCAGCCTCCTTTTAGTTACCTCCCCTAAGTTTAAAATTGTTTCGAACTAAATTATCTGCCCCTAATAGCTGTCACTAAACCCGTCTCTACGATTGTAAACATTTAGCGTGAACCACAGCTCACCAGATTATGTGGGGAGGGGGGTGGTAGCGATATGCCTAGAGAGGAAGAGAGGGGACTGCTAGGCGCGCTTACAGCTTTGTGTTTTCTAGGGTCTCCAAGAAGAGAATTATATATAGTATAGATATTTATAGCAGTAGGAGTAGCCTAAAGAATCGATAGGCCTAGGCCTATTGAATTAAATTTACTGGATTAGATCTAGATCTATAACAGTTTAGACTTTAGAGACTGGTAACAGTTACTATTTAGTAACTATTTACGAGTCTTTATAATGTTAGGGCTGCCTAAAGCGTCATTGGTTTTTTTTGTCACTGTCTAGTTTTAAATGCATACTGATAATTAGTGATAATGATATATCAGAGTTTTACCTTACACGTAATTTAGGCCCTTATTTTGTCATATTTATCACTAAAAATATTTTCTATATAAGTTCTGTAAAAATTCTTGAATTTTATTTCTAGTAGGCCTATACTCCATGTGATCATAGTTAAATAGTTAAATAGTAGTATCAAAATTACTGTTTAAAAGACTTAATTAGGCCTACATGATTTATTTAATATATAGGGCTAGGGTATTATGATAGTATTATCATTAATATTTCATCAGTCCTTTTTTTTAATAATTAAATTTTATATTGAAAGATATTTTTGTAAATCCATTCATTTTAATAATTTATGTTGTTTTTTCAGTTGCAATGGAAAGGCTTTCTTCAGAACTTGTAGCATAGAATTTTCTGAAAAATCCCTGTAATGGCTCAATTGTTTTCCCCAGCAAGTCTGAGGCAGAATGCAACGTTTTCCATTAAATCAACAGTTACACCTATAAGCTCAACATCAATAAAAATGCCAGAAGGGAAAGAAACCAAAGAAGTTGTTCAGCTGTGGTGCTTTGACTTAACAAATTTGTCTCGAACATGGCAATTTATTATCCTAACAGCTTTGACTTTCGCTTTTTATCTTGTTTATGGGTATATGCAGGTAAATATACGTTTTAACGCAACCATACTTTAAAAATCTATACAAGATTACAAATATGTAGGGGTTGTCCGTAAATGATATTACTCACCTGTGGGGTTTATTTTTACTTAGTTTCATTCTCATGTAAAGGGGTAAGAAAATATGATATAGCATGCATTGTTTTTCTCAGTAATAAATATAAGTGAAAAATTTATGTCTGTAAAAGCAATGTTTGTTGGATAGAACATATTGATGTTATTAATGTGGGCTGGATGTAGTTTTTTATGGGGTGGAGTTGTAAAAATCAGTTACAATTATTGGTTTAATTATTACAGGCACAAAAATGTGTGCATACACTTTGCTAATATGTATTTTGAATTTATCCTTTTAGGAATTGATATTTAAACTTGAAGGATTTAAACCTTTTGGTTGGTACCTGACCTTAGTCCAGTTTGCATACTACACTGGTTTTGGTATTGCTGAGCTGAATCTAAAAGTAGACAAAAGTCGAAAGTATGTGCCAAAGTTTACTCATGCAATTGGTATTTTTATACTTTTTATCTTAAATGTTAGAGAAAATAAAATCAAGTATATTTAGGCCTGCTTGCTTTCTGCACATCTTGTTTATGAAGAACATACATTTTTATTCACTTCTTGGTTTTATATGTATAAAATTATCTGGCAATTTATATATTTAAACATCATTTGCCTTTCAGAATTCCACTGAGGATGTATCTATTGCTTGCTTTTCTTACAGTAGCAACAATGGGTCTTTCCAACACATCAGTTGGTTATTTAAACTACCCAACACAAGTTATATTCAAATGCTGTAAGCTTATACCAGTATTAATAGGTGGAATTCTTATACAAGGTAAGGGTGGGTGTATACATGAAAAACTGTATTTTATTACAAAGATGTTAAATTGAGGCTGCAGTTTTGATTCTAAGAGAGTATTTTCATGTTATGCACATCAGTACAACAGTAAAATGATGTTTGTATTTATTATTGAGTATGCTTGAGAAATTTTGGTCTGATTTCTTAAATTGGGCACGTTTGTATATTTCCTATTAGGAAAAAGGTTTAGCTGGATTGATATCACAGCCTGCTTTTGTATGAGTATAGGCCTCATCCTATTCACTTTAGCAGACAGTGCTGTTTCTCCAAACTTCAACACTTATGGTATGTTTACACTAATACTAACAGTATACATAAACTTAATCAACATTTGCTTTGTATTTTTTTAGACATTTAAAAAAAACTAAATGAATTATATCCAAGTATTTGATCATTAAATAATTACTGCTACTTTTTTAACACAGTGTAAATATATATTCTTTAAGGTATTACTCTGATCTCACTTGCTTTATGTGCTGATGGTGCTATTGGCAATGTCCAAGAAAAGACACTCAAGCAATATGGTGCTAGTAATGGTGAAATGGTAGGTTTATTTATACTCTTTTTATTATGATAACATGAGTCCATAAATGAATGTTCTTCACATTAAATTATGTTGATAAACATAAGAATGCATCATTGCTAATCCAAAAGTTTTGAGATTGCTTCCTATTTCTTGTTTATAGTTAGTCCAGTAGTCCATTCAGTATGGATAGATACCCAACATAAATTGGGAAGTTTGGCAGAGTGATGCCCACACACATCACTATTTATACAAACTTTTTTCCCTATATGATATCGGCCATGACGTCCTTAGTGATATTTTCCTTTCAAAGATTTTTATTAGTGGTTTCTAATTTTTTTTAAGTTTCTTTCAGTGTTTACATCTTGCTTGTTTTTAACTATAGGTACTTTATTCCTATGGAATTGGATTCATCTACATTTTTGTTGGCTTGATTGTGTCAGGCAGCCTTTTACCTGCTTTTTACTTTTGTCAGCAGGTGAGTTTGTCTCGAATTGCTTCCATTTTACTATTAAAATATTGTTTATCATTTTGTGCATATTTATCTACAGTGTAATTTACCTTTTTATTTTTCAGTATCCTATTGAGACATATGGGTATGCAGTTGTTTTTTCAGTGACCGGATATTTAGGGCTCTACATTGTTCTTACAACTGTGAAATGTTTTGGTGCTTTGATTGCTGTCACAGGTATTTAATTTTGACCAAGTAAATTTAGATTTTTACAATTTTACAAGTTAATTAACCATATACTTTAATATGTGCCTCAAGATTAATTTATAAACTCCTTCCATCTTTTCAGTAACTACCTGTCGAAAAGCTGTGACTATTGTATTGTCCTTTATGTTTTTTGCCAAGCCTTTTACATTCCAGTAAGTTCAATTTCATTTGAATAAATAAATAATTTTTTATAAATAATGTTAACAGTTAGTGAGTTAAGTCCCTTTCCATGACTTGGAGTCTAATTTAGGTTATGCTAGAAACCTTTTTTCATTTAAACTGGTTTCCCAGCTTATATTTTTTGGTCTCGCTTTAACCATTTCTTGTGTAAACTCTCTATTTTTCCTACTTGTCTAGGTACCTGTGGTCAGGACTGGTTGTGTTACTGGGTATTTATCTCAACCTGTACAGCAAGAACAAAGCAAGCTGGGATGCCAAAATTCTCCACTTCCTGCAGAAATATGGTGTAGTTACAAAGAAAAAAACTCTACTCCCAGAGAACATTGTTTGATGTATATTATGTTTGCTAGCTTCTCAATACTTAGTGGGGGCAAATATTAGGTTAAATAATGATAGTTGTCATTTTTATCAAATTATGCCAAGAATAACTAATTTCTTACTGAACTTATTAAATTTATGCTAATAGGTGTGTGTTTTAGTACTTAACTCTTTAGTGTGTAAGGTTTAACATTTTTTTAATTTCATATTTATCTGTGTCACTTGTTAAAGAATTCCACTTGTGTTTCCTGCTGATTTTTATTTGTTTATTTTTATCCCTTTGACTAGACATAATTTTAACAATAACAACTGTGATAGTTTGTGTTATCATCTGCTGTGATGCTAGTAGTTAAAAAATCACAAGCCATGTAATATTATTATATCAGATTGTATTAAATCTAACATATTTCTCTGTAACAGATATATTTGATGTACTATGGACATTAGAGCCAATTATTTATGCAATTAGTGTGATTAGCTGGTAGCTCTTTCAATTTTATAAAGCCTGAAAGTGCCTATTCAAATTGGTTTTATATATTTTTTTCTACACATCACTCATCAACAAATGTGCTTAAAGAATTGAAAATCTGAAATTACATGTTATGGAAGGGTCGTTTATATTTGATATAACACAAAGAGGAAAGAGGGTTTAGACTTTATAAGGTTTTATTTATATTTATTAAGCTGGTTATTCATATTTTTTAAATTTAAGTATTGTTGTTTTTCTAGTGGAGGAAGAGGGCGTGTCTGTTTTTTTATAGTTTGTCATGGATATGTATAGAATACATCAAAGTTTATTGTTGTTAACAGAATATTAATAGATTTTGTTAGAGAATGAGATGATAAATGGGCTTGCACTAATTTGTCTTGAAAGAAATGTTATTCAACTGGTAAGATTGCAGTGAAATTATTCAAACTCATTCATATGTAATAAAAGTTTTTTTTTTTTAAATTGAAATACACTTATATTTATTTTTATTCTGGTTTCAACAAACTCTATAATATATTATTGGTAATGTCAATGTTTGAAGGTAAATTTCGTAAAATATTTTATTGAACTATTAAATATGTGTGGATTTGTAAATAATTGGGCAGAATACATTTTGTTATTATTGAAAAACACATTTTATGTGTTGCTGGTGATTTCTCATGGTTATTTATTTTTTGTAAATATGTAAAAACTATGTTTTGGAATATGCTTATGTATGTTACATTCAAACAATAGACAATATTAATGCTTATAAAATTTCAACCTATCAATAAATTTCTAATGATTTAGCAAGATGTTACTCAATTAAAGTTTAGATAATTAAAAAAAGTTTTTTTAGAACAATAATAATTTTGTACCTTCATAAAAGTTTGGCTGTGGCATACTTTTAAGTACGCATATCCTGTATTGATTTCTATAGCCTAAAAATAAATGTAAAGCATTAGTCCTCTTGGTAATACATTTTATTTTTAACAATGTACCAGCCTTCAAAAACAGGGCAATTTATTAAGCTACTCAAACAATATTGTTTTAGTTATGCTTGCTAACTTTATTTCATTATCTGACTTTGTACAACATATTCACATAAAACTGTATTCGTTAGTTAATTGTGAATGAGCATCTAATTATTAATTATTACACGTTTTTGTATTGAAGAAGCAATCTCACTTTTTTAATGCTAAAAGTTGATAACTGCTTTTCAACTTTTTGATTTTTATTTAAAATTTTCTAAAAGCGGTTCATTTTTTTTTAGAGTATTGTATAATGTATTTTTCTTTAGTTGGGTTTTGTTGTATTAGCCAAAAAAGTTCTAACAGAAAAAGCTTATTATCTGCTTGAAAAAATAAGGGCACTCGGTAAAAGTACTAATATGTAAGATTCTTTGGCTTTGAAATATTGTTCCTTAAATTGGGCTGAAAATATTTTACACTGGTCTAAAGATAAGCAATAAAGGTATGCACAGGTTTCTGTTGTGTTTTTTATTCTTACATTACAGATAGGCATTTATTATTCTCTGCTGTCATTTTTAATAAGCTGTCTTTTTTTTTTTTTGGCCCAAAAAATATTCACAACAACAGAGTGTTGCATTTTCTAGCTTTTTTTATTTGCCATAAAAATCTGTCACATATAAATCATACAACACAAATGTAAAAATGTGTGTAAATCTGCTTGATATAAACATATACAGAATTTATAAAAATACAAGAATACCTAAAATGTTTATTTACATAATATCTCAACAAGTCGATCACGTTAACTGTAATCCTCACACACTCATCAACACTAGTCCAACTAAACTTGTTTCTTCTGGAAGAAGTGTGAAATAGAGCTCTGTTTTTTCTTAGGGTCTTTCAACACTACCTCATCTGATGGATTTCTTTTTCGCTTTTGCTTTGTTTTAGGCTCTTGGGAAAAACTTTGGAAAATTTTAAAAACCTGTAAGAAATTAAACAAGTTAAGAAACATCAATGTGTAAAGTGTTAAAAAAAAAATTATTTAAAAATATAGAGTTAAATTTACTAATCTTTCATGAATAAAAATATTTAACTTACATAAGAATTTCAACCTATGATATCCAACAAATATCTACTAGGTTAACAAAATTATAAAATAGGGACTTTTCTCAACTGCTTGTATTGAACTAAGCTTAAACTAAACAGTAATTTTAAAAATGAAATCAGTTTAGCACCAACTTATTTTTAAAATCAAATGTGTTGATACCTCAACAGTATTGTAAAAAATGTAATCCTGATGGGGTTTTTTTTCAGGTACAAAATAGAAAATGAAATTTCAAACTTTGCAGCAGTAGATGATTAAAGTAAACTTAGAATTAGCGTTCATTGGAAAACAATGCAATACATGTTATTTCTTTTAAAAGCTGATTTAGTTAACTACCTTTCTCATCCCTGTGGACAAGGCTGCTTCTTTGATCTGGTGCTCTGTGAGCCATTTTGTGGGGAAAAGTTCACAGGTGGATAATGTCGCTTCAACAGACTCGTCAACATCCACAGCCCAGATTTTATACAGGTGGTGAACGTGAGAAAACATATGCATCACCTTTAAACAAATGTTATTATTAGGCTTTGACAAATTCAAAGTCCATTTGCTGAAATCATTTTATCTAGGTTATAGGCGCTTTAAAAAAACTTTTTAGTGTATAACTGTATTATCTTACAAACATTTAAAAGAGCTTTGAAGTTAAGACAAAACTTATTGAACATCCTATTCACAGTTCATAAAAGCACTGGAAAAAAAAATCACTAACCTCACCAACTGGTTTCAGTTCCTGAAGGATTGTGTCTTTCAAGTTATATTTTTTGCTGAAAGCTTCTGATATTTCACTTATAGAGTTCTGCCCACTGCATGATGGGAACTCCCACATACCAGCTAGGAGACCTTTAAGATTAATTTTAAAAACAAATATTTTTAACAACACTGATAGAAAATAAATGCAAAAAAATAATCATTCATTTTATTTTCTAATTGTGGAGATATTTGTTCTGACAATAAATATATTACAGCAACTATTTCTGACTGACGTTGAATGTGTGGAGGTAGTGTGGTTAAAGGTGCATAAAACAGGCTTCGTAGTTTGAGTTCAATTCTTGATTATAAAATCATGGGGTTGCCCGGAGTTACCACTGGAGTAATTCCGGGAAGGTAGTGTCGTAGTAAACTCAAAAGAAGTTATTAATGGAAGGTAATGTCATAGTAAACTCAAATGCCATGGCCAAAAACATTATACTATGCTTAAGCTGTAATAACCAAAGAGATTTAAAAAACTGAACTCACCTTTCTGTGGTCTTTGACAAACCATAAAATGGTGGTTATCTTTTTTAGTCAGGGCTGCAACAAGAACATTGATCTCTTCCTGTTTGGCTGAAGCTTTCTTTGGCTTTCTAGGGAAGTTTTGCACACCTAGTCTAAAAAAAAGATGTTCACAGTTAACTTAATAGCTTTAATTTAATAATAACCAATTTAGTTAAAACCAGACTAATTTTGAAGTAATACATAAAATTTGGAAAAGTGGGAATACCAATTTTAAGAATAAAAGAAACTGCCTATTATTCAATATTTGCTAAAATAGATTTTAATGTCTTAGTAAAGAAAGATTGTAACAGTCATAGCATGTTATGGTGAAGATACTCTAAGTAGAATGTATATAAGCTTTGGTGTATGAGTATAATAATGACAATCATTCAGTTTAAATAATGGACAAAACATCTTAATGACTTTTTTCTTGTAATAAAGAGCAGTGATGCAAAAACATGCTTTCAAGTCAAATAATTTGCTTACTCTCTATCCCAAGGTTGGTCAGATGGGAGGCACAGCTTACAATCTGGTATTACTGAAGATGGGAAACCATTTAAAAATATATGTTATTTTTGCCACAGCTAAAACTAAAATAAAACCTGAAAATCTAATGTGAACAATACAAAATACAACATCACTGAGTCTAGCTGTACATCTTGGATGTATTTTAAGCATTTTACAGATGTGGTATTTTCTTGTGGTTTGTTTATGGGTGGCAAGTTCTAATGTCAAATACAGTGATTTACTCAGTTTATAAGGCAATATTTTGATTTGTGTAAAACAAGTAATAACAAATTCAAACCCAATTATAACAGTCTTAACCTAACAACATAAATATCAAGGTGTGATAAAATAGTGGTTTTTACAGCATTCAATATCCACAAGATTCACTTTTTTCTCTTGATCTTGGGATGGTACACATAACTTTTTTGCAGATTCACTTCTATCTTTCTCTACCTGTAATAGAAGATGAAAATTTTAAAAACTTGGGAGAAATTCCTTGCTATATTACAGTTAAGTACAAAGAAGAAAGATCACACAGCTACTACTAACTTTACACATCATGCCTAATTTAAATTTTAAAAGTTCGTGAGAATTGTATCATACCATGGCATAAGCTCTACAGATTCCCTTTACTGGACACTGCCCACAAGATGGCGCTTTTGGTGTGCAAACTGTTGCTCCAATCTCCATCAATGATTGGTTGAAATCGCCTGGTCTCTGAGGATCAACAATCTGATTGGCTAAAGACCTGCCAGGGAAAATATTAACACTTATGATAATGTAAATAATTCACAAGGATATTATTAATTTTGAAGCTTAATTTGTTAATACTTTATGTTAGTTACAAACTTTGACTGCAATAAAACTATGTGGATAAGAAAAAACTGTACCATATTGTGTCTAATACTTCTTGTATGTTTACACTGGCTCCAATAGACCTAAGACGGGACAAAACACGGATCACATTTCCATCTACAAGTCCTGTTACCTGGTAGAGAAGTTGTATAATAAAAAATGGAATTGTTTCATGACTGCTTTGGTAGTTGGATTAGTACAAACTATATTAAGAGTAGACATTTGTAGTAAATAAGAAGGCATTAGAAAAGCAGATTGTTTTTTAAATGTAATTTAACCTTTGGTGTGATTTTTAGTAACTTTTAAAAACAATTACCATCAAGGCAAAATTAGAGAATAAATAATGTGGCATTTATTTATGCTTTGGTATATTGATACTTATTTATTACAATTTGCAAAATAGTCATTTTAAAATGTCAAATATTACTATTAATGATATTAGAACAGTTTTTTAAACCCATCAATATTGTTGTTATTGTGTGACAAAATCAAATGCAGTCAGATTCCAAGTAATTTAAGGATAGTTAGCACAATCCAGTTTATTTCTACAGAAAACCATACGATGACAACAAAATTACCTCCCCTAAGGCAATAGATGCAATAGCTCCAGCTGTGTAGGGCCCAACCCCAGGGAGAATTTTTTGCAAGTCTGCAGCCTTTTTTGGCATCTCACCTGACAGCTCATTGACAACCTGGCAAGCAGAGAAAAAAACAAAGTATTTAGCACATAATGCATCAAAACTAATGAGTATATACTGAGAGCTGCTAATAGCACACTGCTCAATACATAAAATTTACAAATAAAAATTTAATTCAAGTTATTATAAACATTGAAGAAATAGAAATGAACTTCTTCATTTTTACTTTCTATCACACTGCCAAAATGTGTTCATAGTGAACGAAACTTTTTAAAAAAAATGAATAGACTACCTTTTGAGCACCTTCAAATAGACGCCTCCCTCTTGAATAATAGCCTAAACCTGACCATAACACGTTTACTTCCTGTGAAAACATTAAATAAACATGCAAAAGCTGTTGTAATAAAGCTTCTATAATTTGGTTTTAAATATGTTTTTTATGTGGCTCAAAATACACCATAGGTGATTGGCTAATTGTGAATAATCCCACAAATGATTAGTCTAAGAGGGTACATTTTATCATTTGCTTTCATTGAAAACAATTTAATAATGCTACTTAAACCATGAGTTTTAAAATTAACATTAATCCTTCAAACACAGCCAGTCGTTATGGTACCTGTACTGTAAACTAATGAAGGTGTTAAATGATATCAATCAAATGATTACATATTATACCTCTATATTGGATACTGCAAGATCTTGTAATGTTGGCCACTTCTGAAAAAATATTGGTATTCAATTAATTTAATGCAAAACAGTAAAGTGAAATAGCACCCACAAAAAGATTAATAAAAACTGAAACTGTTTTTTTAAAATGGCATGTAACAAACAACACTACAGTAAATTAAAGTTTATAAAACCCCACAGGAACAAACATAAAGAAATTCATTTTTGTTAGCTCTGGGCTTAACTTCACCTGCATCCATTTATTATAATAGTTGATTACAGTCGCGACTTGTGTTTGTTGCAGCATGATCTCTGACACCCACACTGCATACGCCTTTTGATTTATGTCTTTGGTAGATATCTGGGAATTTCAATGTTTCTTAAAATATGTAGATTTACACTGACAGAAAAGTAACAGAACACAGTTGAATATGTAGACATATGCAGATACTGCAAAATAAGCTTTTTAATAGAATACATTTTGATTGTTCATAATAAAATGCTTCAAACAAGAAAATATGTACCTGTCTCCATGGTAGATCTCTTTTATTTGTGTCATACCACGACAGTAAAGATTGTCTTAAGCTTGTGACTTCTGGTTCGGAAAATGCATGAACGCTGTTGCTTCCATCTAATAAGCTGACATTTGTTGTTATTTTTTTGTTATCTAAAATTATATGATAATAAAAATAATTCCTGTTCATGATATTTAGGCTTTTAATTGTGTACTATGATGTGAATGTAATATAAAAATATATGAAGGTGTAACCAAAAAATTTTTGTTTAATTAAACGAAATGAAACATTTTATTTTTGTTGTTTATTATATTTAATTGTTAAGATTAGATTGAATTTAAATAAATAACATTTCATACCATTTTCCTTTTTCTTACTCCGAACCATGATAGTAACAGCTCTTTTTATTAACTCTGAAACTAAATGAATTCATGATAAATATTTTATTAATCAAGCAAAGTATATTCATGTTGTTAATAACTAAATAAAAAATTGATAAATTAACATTTAGTAGAGCAATGTTGTACAACACTGCCTTTTATTTTCCATATTTTAATTTTAATGTTGCTACAAGTTGATACAACTGGCTTACAATTTATTGTGTTTTTGATCTAGATCTATCTAGATCTAGATCTACATTGAATCAGAATTGTGTTACAGTTAGGCGTAACAGTAACAGTATAACAGTAACAGTTGTAGACTGTTAGTACTGTTAGTTACAGTTACTAAGAGTTAGTAGATTCTACTTATTAGTTCAATAATAAAAAAGTTGGTAATCTATCGTTTTGGGTACGTAAAATCGCCCGCGTCTATTAATGTACGAAAACGTTACCTCATTGTCAAGGCTGTAATAGAAGTATATTGTGATATGTTTGTGTCAAATATAGATAAATAAATAATAAACCTAAATCAATGGCTAAATATATCAATATAGGCCAGAAATTAACTTTAAACAGCAGTGTCTGCAAGCAAAATTTGCTATATAAACAGCAGCCATTTGTAAAATAGAGTGAATTCCGCCTGAATCTCGCGCTATATAAAAAAACTTTAACAAGATGGCTGCTATAGTAAATGAGCATGGTTGCATCTGTTGGAAATAATGGAAACATCTCTGCTGTTCATTTATTACTAAAAAGTTTTAATTCAATTGTTTAAAAACAGGTAGGGGCCTACATAAATGAAACAAGGAAACATTTTTGTATTTTTCAAAACATAAATCCTCCTCAAAATGTGAAATAATTATTAAAATGTAAGGAGTCACCTGTTTTTCACATTACTAGATCTAGTCGCGGGCGATTTTTCGTACCTAAAACTAGACTAGTAAAACGATAGATTACCAAAAAGTTTAGTACTGACTCAGACTCTGAGACTGTGTTACCTTTACTTTTACTGTTTGTTGTGGATAATAATCTAAAAGTAAATTGAACTTCTGCTCTAAAGCATGTCATCAAAAAAGTTAAATAATCTTCACAAAGAGGTAGATCTAGATCGAGTAGATCTAGATCTAGATCTAGATCTAGATCTAGATCTATTTGTTAAAAAGTAGATCTTAGATTTTTATCAGCGAACTATTGTTGTTTTTAATGTTATGCAATTATTGTAATACCCGCCCTTACCAGCAGTACAAAATGTCATGGTTTTGTTTCGCAATTTAAATATCTTTCGCTATAGTACTTAGGCCTATATATATAAACTAGAATACCCGTCATCCGTTGGATAACTGTGGGTTTCGGGGGTCATCCATCAAAAAACATCACGTCTGTCACTCAGAGGCATAGCGACCCTTCCCGGCGCCCGGGGACAAAGTTTTCGATTTGAACCCCCCCCCCTCAAACTTTTGATGTGCACCCCCCCCCCACTCAAACTTTCGATTTGAACCCCCCTCAACCTATCAATTTATTTTTCCAAACCATTTTGGCGCCCCAACATATGCCCCCCCCTTCCCCCTCCCCACCCCCCGCCTCCCCTTCCCCCCCCCCCACCCCCCGCCTCCCCTCCCCTACCGTCCCCCCCCCCCTCCTCGGTACGCTACTGCAGTGTCACTTATCCTCACAAAAAACAGACCCCACATTCAAATATATGTTTTTTATCTTTTAAAAACACCGAAAACACCGATTTCGGACTATCCCTTCATAAACTGACGTCACAGGTGACCTACTCAACTCTACTTCACCTGCCCAGTGTCCTGCCAAGTCTCAGACAACATGTTTTTATCGTTTAAAAAACAATTCCAGCCGAGCATGTATCTGACCACACTATCCTTTCATATGCTTAGGACAAAGAAACAGATGAACTCTACTTCACCTGCCCTGTATCTTGCCAAGTTCAGATAGGCAACGTTATCATTCACATCTAAAAAAAAAAAAAATTGAAAAAAAAATTTTATTGACATATTGGTCTAGAACCCGTGCCTCCTGCATGAGAGCTGACTACGCTACCATTTTAGCTATTTACTCGTGACGTCACAAGTGAATTTTTATACTATACTATGTATCTCCTTATGCAACTTGATTTACGGCGTATAGATTCTAGATCTAGATCTAAAAATAAGTCTAGTAGTACTAACTTTCAAATTAAATTTTATCTTAAATAAGCCAAACAAAGATTTATATAAAATAATTAAGGCCTGAAATAGATTCTAGATGTAGAATTTACATTAAGTCTAGATCTAGAATTTACATAGAAACCTAGTGACCTACATCTAGGCTAGATCTAGATCTAGAGTCTAGGCTAGATTCATAAATTTCCTTCGATAGCTGATCTTTAGATCTAGAGAAATTTATTGTAAAACTAAATGAAAAAGACAGTTGAACATTGATATAAGTGTTGGAACGTAATAAATACAGAAAACGGACGTATTGTTAAAGTTATGACCGACAGAAAATTAGATTTAGAACGCGTTAAACTTGTGAATGGGAACACAATTTTCTTCGATAGACGCCGCCATTTTATTGTACTAAAGAGTAAACAAAAACCTGTGACGTCACGGTCCCGCCGAGTCTAGTGGCTTTTCAAATATTTTTTAAAAAAATGGGTTAATCTGCATATGAATAAATCAATTAATTAATTAACGTCTTTAAATAAATTTGTGATCAACAGTCTGTCTGCATTAAAAAATTATTCTCTACCTGCATACCATTTTACAGCTTTCCAGATAGAGTCGAACATATCACAATTTTCGATCAGGCAAACAAATAAATATTCAAACATGTAAACAAAGTTGACTTTTAGTAGTATATAGATAAGTGTTTGTAGGGGCAAGATTTGCGAGTAGTTTTATTTATTTAAAAAAAAACGAATAACATATTATTACAATATAGATCTACATGAACTTGAAAAATAATTGTTGTTGCTACTTTCTGCTAGTTTTGGGTTTTAAGATCAGATGAGTAAGGGGTCATCCATAAATGACGTCACGCTTTTTTTGACGATTTTTACCTCCTCCCCTCCCCTCCGTCACACGTCGTCACAAAAAGCCAGACCCCCCCCCCTAAAATGACGTCACACCTCAGCCTACAACCTCCCCCCCCTCAAAATTGCAGTTGAATTTTTTTTAAACATCGATATTTTTCCAAAATATTGTCTAAAATATGTCAAAATAGAGTATTTTAATCAATTCCTATTATAATATTATAATTTATTAAAACTGTTTTCTACAACGCTTAATAACGTCTGAAATTCGTTTTCTAACATTTCTTATAAAGCAAAAGTGTGACGTTGCACCATCTGACCCCCCCCCCTCCTCCTCATCACACATCGTCACAAAATTACCTACCCCCCCCTCCCCCTACGAGTGTAACGTCATTTATGGACGACACCTAATTATTCATGTATTTATTTTGTATTACTTATATTCATTCATTCACATTCATTTATTCGTTCATTCGTTCATTCGTTCATTCGTTCATTCGTTCATTCGCTCATTCGTTCATTCGTTCATTCGTGCATTCGTGCATTCGTGCATTCGTTCATTCGTTCATCCGTTCATTCGTTCATTCGTTCATTCGTTCATTCGTTCATTCGTTCATTCGTTCATTCGTTCATTCGTTCATTCGTTCATTCGTTCATTCGTTCATTCGTTCATTCGTTCATTCGTTCATTCGTTCATTCGTTCATTCGTTCATTCGTTCATTCGTTCATTCGTTCATTCGTTCATTCGTTCATTCGTTCATTCGTTCATTCGTTCATTCGTTCATTCGTTCATTCGTTCATTCGTTCATTCATTCATTCATTCATTCATTCATTCATTCATTCATTCATTCAATTTAACTCGATCGACATACATTGCGAACCTCCATAAATAACGTCACACACGCAGGGGAGGTGAAGAGAGGAGAGAGAATTGAGACGGTGTGTTGAGGGGGGGGGAACATTAGACTGCGTAGCAAGGGTTGGGGGTGAAGGTAGAAGGGAACAGAAAGACACCTTTTCGCATTGTATGAAGTAATTTGAACATTTAACAGTTATTTGAGATTTAAAAAAAAACTATTTTGCACATTGTAATAAATATGTATCGATATACCTAATAATGATCGACCTTAGTTAGCAAGGTTACTATATAAAAAAGAAATCAACGTTCATTGTTAAAAACAAAACAAAGATATATTATTCTTATGTGTGACATCATTTATGGGATCTGGCATTTTTTACGAGTTGTTACGATGGGGAGGCAGAGAGGAATGGGGGTGGGGGGGGGGGGGGAAACAAAGCGTAACGTCATTTATGGAATGCTCCTTTATGGAATTCAAACTTGAAAGATTTGTACGTAGCCTATCACCCATTGCTTACATGTCAGTACTTGAAAACGATTGCTATACACAAGACTAGCTGGTATTTTCTCTAATGTAAATGTTTCTGTTTAGCAGGGTATAGGATAGCGGATAGGGACTTCTAGGAATGATACGACACTCATGGAGAAAAGGGTAAATATCTTTGCTAATTTTTGTTGCATTCCCTAAACACTGTAGTCAAGTGTGTTCTTTATGTCGTTTTCGTCGAAATTAATGGTGTGACATCACAATTTTAGAGTTAAAAATTATAATTTTTAAATGAATTCCAGAACTTATTGTAAATTTATAGACTTTTTATTAGCGCAATTTCCATTCTGGAGAATTGCGTTTATTTTTTTAATTTGTGAAAGAATGGGTCTATGTAGGCTACCTAATGAAGAGCCAGGTTTGCTAAATTCTCACTACAAACTATATCTCGCGTAGTTATTTATTGGTTATATCCCTTATAAATGGGAAACAACAAGATTTTAGAGAGAAAATAAAAACGTTTTCTAAAGAAACAAGGTAATTAAAAAGTCTAGTGACAATTTTAGCGCAATTTCCTTATGTTATCTAAAAATAGTTCTGTCGTAGCGTAAATCAAGAGCAGGGTTAGTAAAACCATTGGTTAGTTATTAAAACGTTTTTTATTAATTTTTTTTCAGTATTTTACATGTTTTATTTACAATAGAGTTACATGACTAAAAACCATTGCGCGCCTAGCTACTGAACGTGATGATGCAGCCATTGAACGTGAGGGCGCAGCTATTGAACGTGATGACGCGTGTGGTGTGGTTGGCCTACTAATTCGGTTCAAATTTTAATTAATTAAAACAAGTTAATTAAAAAAGTCTAGTGACATTTATGCGCAATTTCCTTATGTTATCTAAAAATAGCTCTGACGTATAATGCTGCGGTGCGTTCAAGCTAGAAGAACGATCGGTTTGTAGGTGTTTATGTAATTTTAAAATTTGTGACCGAACGAGAGGATATTTTTGAAAACTTTCTTCGGCAATATTGTTCTAAATTATGGCAGGAATCGATTGGTACATGTTTCAAGTCGCTAAGTGGTCTGGTTGCCGAGATATGGGCCAAAAACTGCATTTTTTCGAGGTTTTTTTGGCTTTTCCGGGAAATACATGAAAGAAACCCCGAACTTTTATGGCCTATGCTCATTCTCGTAACTTGCTTAACATAATTGCTTTTGGAACTAGTCATCGATATTGCTTCGTTGAGGAGGAGATACGACTTAAAGCCCGGACACACATTCATCCATACATTCATTCATTCATTCATCCATCCATTCCCAGAAATGACGAGTTAATAAACGCAATTCTCCAGAATGGGAATCGCGCTAAAAAAAATTTGTGACCGAACGAAAGGATATTTTTGAAAACTTTCTTCGGCAATATTGTTCTAAATTATGGCAGGAATCGATTGGTACATGTTTCAAGTCGCTAAGTGGTCTGGTTGCCGAGATATGGGTCAAAAACTGCTTTTAAAAAAGGTTTTTTGGCTTTTCCGGGAAATCCATGAAAGAAACCCGGAATTTTTATGGCCTATGCTCATCCTCGTAACTTGCTTAACATAATTGCTTTTGGAACTAGTCATCGATATTGCTTCGTTGAGGAGGAGATACGACTTAAAGCTGCGGACACACATCCATTCATCCATTCATCCATTCATACATCCAGAAATGACGAGTTAATAAACGCAATTCTCCAGAATGGAAATTGCGCTAAAAATTTGGAAGGTGGAAAGGGCTGAAGTAAAACAAAAAGTGTGATTTTTTTTATGTATAGACGAGCGCCCCGCCCCACCCAGGGGCGGAACTACAGTGCCGCCAGACCCCGCATTGCAGGGGGGGGGGGCACGCCATTTAGGGGCCCATAGTTAACCATAATACATTTTTTATAGTTAAAAAAATAATTTTCTTTCATTTTTGACTTGACGGTAAAAGATTTTGTAAATAACAGTATTGATGTTCTACCAGGGGTCGGCAACCTTTTGAGACGGAAGAGCCAAAAGTTACAATTTTCAAAATTTCCCAGTTTTTAAAGAGCCACATTTTTATTATATTTTATTATTTGATTAGGATTAAGTAAATAAATGTGATTTGTTATTTAAAATACATAGTTTTAAATATGAAATAATATTTATTCGTATAAAAACATACGCATGTTTCGCCCAGGGGCGGAACTACCATACCGCCAGACCCCGCAATGCGGGGGGGGGGGGGGGGGGCAGGACGTTTAGGGGCCCAGTTCCGACCAAAAAACAATGAATTTTTTTTCAAAAATTATGTTTTTCATGCATCTTGAAAGTGGTTTTGTAAAAAAAAAAAACAGGTCTACTATAGCAGAGATTGTTACGTAGAAAAATATTTTAAAATCTACAAGAGCTATAGTTTGAAAGGTAGGTAAACATTCACACTACTTCCATGACTTACTGCCCTTCTTTAAAATAGGGATGCACACAAAGCTTATTTGAATAGTTTTGTACTATGTATATTAAAAAGCTATTGATTCTCTGAATTGTTATTTAAATAAGAAGTACTATACAATAGTATAGCCATAAAAATCAATGTTTTCAAAATTGTTATTATAAAAGCCAAAAATGAAAAAAATAAACATAACGCGAGAAACCATTCACGAATCAAGCTAACGTCTTTATATATTTTTGACCAGCATGTTTCTGAATAATTACATATTATAGATTGGTTTGGACTAAATTTTTTTCTGGTTTGTTCTCTGAGAATGGTTATATATTGCAATGAAGTAGACTAAATTACTCAGTTAGGATATAGATTGTATATATATATATATATATATATATATATATATATATATATATATATATATATATATATATATATATATGTATATATATATATATATATATATATATATATATATATATATATATATATATATATATATATATATATATATATATATATATATATATATATATATATATATATATATTTAGGGCCCCCTATATATATATATATATATATATATATATATATATATATATATATATATATATATATATATATATATATATATATATATATATATATATATATATATATATATAGGGGGCCCTAGTTTTTTCTTTGCGGGGGAGCCTTTGATTTCTAGTTCCGCCACTGGTTTCGCCAGAATAATAAACTTAGTAATCAATAATATAACTATAGGGCTATCCGAATCCACTTTAAGAGCTGTTTACTTTTTTTTTCTTTCTTTACGGATATCACCAGCTCAGAAGCAGAGTTTCCGAAAAATTTTTACCGCCCCCCCCCCCTGAACGGAATGAAATTTATATAATTTATATAGAAAATATATACTTTTAACAGTGTCCGCCCCCCCCCCCCCCCGAAAAAAGTTCCCCCCCCCCCGAAAATTTCAAGTGCCCCCCCCCCTCCCCCCGGAGAAAAAAGTCTGGAAGAAACACTGATCAGAAGGTGTCTGCCATTAGCCAGGCAGGCCTCAACAAGGATAACTTCGACTAACTGGCTTAAATATCGGTTTGATTACCGTGTATCGGTCGCTTCTGTCCTTTGGTTCTCATCAGGCTTATCTTCCATCCCACTGAACACAGGGTAAACTCGTACCCCACAGTCCAGTACCCGGCTCAACAGTAGGAAGCTAATAACTAAAAAAACTACGTCACTCGCGTCAAATTAATGATTACTGACGGATAGGGAAATGCATTCTGAATAAAATAACATTCCCATTTAAAAACATTCGAAAAGTCGGCACTTGGGCAGTGGCAAGCATGGGATTGTTGCCACGGGACTGTGGGGCTGGAAGATGCCTGGAAGAAACTTTGGCTGGCTGATGAAATCCTGGAGATGAAAAGTGGAAGATGAGGCAAGGCCTTTAAGGCTTACATGGGCGCAAGTAAAGAGAGATGCTAAAAACAGAGTCCGATGGAGAGGTATATCTGCAAGGAATAAGTCAAGTGGTAGAATAGCAACACATCTCAGTGTATAATGATATAATCTACACTTCAAAGCAAGGTCTGCATAGAACCAAAAATAAAGTGTGACAAATTACGTTGTTTTATTTTCATGTTTATCTTATTAGAAGTGATTTTCATTTTTAACCAAGATCTCGTTTTTATTATTTATTTTCATTACGGTAATGATTTAAAGTTAGGTTTTCAGTAGCATCTTTAAAAAAAACGTCATCTAACACCAATCTGCGGACCGGGAATATTGACTTAACTGCGCCTGTCTGTGGTATGAAGTATGCTCGAAGTAGGACAGTGTTGGGTGAAAGAAAAATGGAAGAAATTATTTACTAAAGCCAGGTAAGACTCTGAGATATGTGATAATCTTTAGGGGGGGAAACTACAAACTCTTTGAAGATTGTCAATTGTTACTTCTCTATTCTGATGGCAGGACATTAATTTGAATAGATCCACTAGAAGATTGTGGATAAACTCAGTGGGTTTTTAACTGCTTTATGAGCTTTGTATTATTGGGGCTGAGGCTTGCAGCTTGGGGAAATGACATCATAGCCCTCAACGGAATGACCTTTATGTTGTATAGGCTTATTATACGCATAAAACATGCACGGATTTACAAAACGTAACCATCAGCCTAATTTTAGCTCTATGGTCTTGTGATTTCCTCTTCATTGTAGTTCAAAATTATAAATTAGTCTATCAGTTCTAGAACATTTAGATCTAGAAAAAGGCTACCCTGTTTTGTAAAGCAGCAAAGTGACAATTTCAGTGATACTACTAATAGAGCGTCTAAGTTAGAATTTCTAACACAGTTTTTCCTTTTGAATGTTTCGAGACGTGTATAACAACTTCTATCAGGTCGAAATGAAATGAAACGTGTGGTGTGAAGTCTGCGTTTTTTTTACTGCTGAATTGTAAAGGGTTTTATCCTAATGCAAATACTACACGCATTCAGTATTATGAAAGCTTTAAACGTGATTCTTTTTTTTTAACGAGTGCTCTCCATAGACACATGTGCAATGTTTTTTTTTAATAATGGTTTTGTATTGAGAATAATACGTTCTACTGTCGTTTCTGAAAATAGATTTTGCGTTAAGCAAATATCCTTTTACCTAACAAAATGTAACTTGGGTAACATGCTTCATACAATTATTACCATAGAAATGTTTAGTATAGGCCTAATAGAAATGCTGGTAGGCCCATATCTTTGTAGTGTGATTTGTGGATAAGATTTTTTTAAATACGTTATTAAAGTAGGCATTTCCTGCAAAAATGACATAAACTCGACAACGGTGTAGAAACAACTTGATCATCTATAGTGGTTACATATTGTTAATAATATATTACAATTTTTATCAGCTAAAAGTGGTAGAAGTATCAGAAGTTCATGTTTAAATAACGTCACTTTTTTAGAGATTTTTACCTCCCCGCCCCCTCCCCACCGTCATACATCGGCACACAAAGCCAGACCCATCATGTCACACCTCCGCCTACAACCTCCTCTCCTCAAAATGGCAGTTTAATTTTTTTTTAATTATCGGTCTTTTTTCTAAAATATTGACTGAGCTCGGCCAACAAAGAGTATATAATTCCATTTCCATAACAAATGACACAAACAGCTATTTAAAATTAAGTTTAAAACCCGAAATAACAAAAGAATAGCGTGACGCCACACTGTTGAATTTTTTTAAAAAGAATGTTAACATATCTGAATTTTAGTTATTTCGCGTTTTAGAAAGCTGTTTGTGTCAATCGTAATAGAAATGTAACAAACTCTTCGTATACCGAGTTCAGTCACAATTTTTCAACCCCTCTCCGTCATCACACATTGTCACAAAATTATCAACTCCCCTCCACCTTAAGGATGTGACGTCATTATGGACGACCTCTAAAAACAAAAAAAATTAGATCGAGATATTTTGGAAAGAAATTTAAAACTTGGCAGCAGTGACGCAAATCGGCAGGTTGTATTCTGGCGTCTAGCCACCCCCCCCCCCCGACCCCACCCTCGCCCAGGAGTAGCCCCGCCTTAACCCGCACTATTACAGCGTCACCAAGTTTTTAGCAGACGTTGACTAGGGTGGTAGCAAGTCAGTCAAGCGGAACTGTTGTGGTTTCAAACGTTGTTTGATAGGCCCAATTTTATTTCCGCTCTCTGAAACCAAAAAAAAAAAAAAAATATGTCAGCCAAAAAGATGAAGTCCTAACATGTGGCTATCTGACTAAAGTTACAGATTATCTTTCTGTGATCCTGGAATAATTGGAATGGACCCCACGAACAAAGACTCCTCTGGCTGTTTACGGTAAGGAAATGTTTTTCTAATCAGTGTGAAGCAGTATTTGCGGAGTTGGCAGTTTAAAATTGTTACAGTTTCTATAAGCAATGGTATCTCTTTGTGTAGCTTGGATTTTCTTTTCATTTTTTCTTTTCAAATTATTGCATATGTTGTACTTCAAATGATTATTAAGTACATTCTAAATAATAGTCGGAGTCGTATTTGGTTTGGTGGTATTGGTAACGATTGGCCGTACGAATTAGCTTGCCCTATTTGACATGTTTATGATTAAGCTGTTCATTTCTATCACTTTACAAGATATGTACCTATGATCATACTGTAAGATTTATGTTTTGAATTTGTGTTAATGTAAGTCTGCTGTTAATTAGAGGTATCCGTCGATTTGTTTAGCAGCAATTAATGACACGTATAATAAAGAAAATGTATCAAATTTAACTTGTCGTCGGTCACAGACCTACATTTAAATAGAACCTGTACGATTAACAGGCTAAAATGAGATGTGGAATTATTTTTTTCAACCACTGTCAATACAGTCATACAACGGACCCTTTCAGTAAATAGGGCCTCTTGTATTTTTATTTTTTTTTAAAGAAATTAATTTAAGAGAATTAGTCCTATATTTAGAAATTCATTTATAATAAAAGTTACTTGTTTACTAAACAATTAACACAATTTATTTTCTTTTTAAAATCTACCATAGTCGTACACTAGCATTAAAAATATCACCCTACGAAGGTCAGCATGTGGGACGGTGTGACCTAGAGGTAGAGCGCTAGACTGTTAACCCGAAGGTCTCGAGTTTCAAATATGAGTCAGTAGAACGTACCTGAGTCCACCCAGCTCTGATGAGTACCTAACTCACATTAGGGAAAGTAAAGGCGTCTGGCCATAGCGCTGACCACATTATCCCTTCATATGTCGAGGTTCACAGAAACACGTGAACTTTACTACAATTTCTCCATGGGCCGTCAGGTTCGAAAAGTGAAATGTACAGCAAATCAAAATTAACATATTTAAATGAGTAAATTGCGACCTTATGACACATGAGTCAACACATGCTGAAGCCCCAGATCCCAGACACACCAATAAAATAAAGGTGACACGGCACTGATGTGTCTGCGGAGAATAAAAAAAGCCGGGTGTATTGTCTAGCGCTGTAGTTGAAGGTATCCTATATTCAGTTTAGATCAGTGGTTCTTAACATTTTTTGAGGAACCGAACCCCCACCAGTTTCATATGCGATTCACCGAACCCTTCTTAATAGTAATATCGTCCGAAAATGACAAAATCCGATCGTGACTCATAGTCGGGGGTGTGTTTTGATCTTCGCCGAACCCCTGAGACTGAATCACCGAAACTCTGGGGTTCGATCGAACCCAGGTTAAGAACCACTGGTTTTAGAGGAAGCGTATTAGTGAAGATCACACAGTCCTGCACTAGTGGGATCACTGGTAGAGCTAATGTGTTGTTTCGATATATTTTTCTTCTCCCTTCGTTATTCGCATTGCATTCAGGGCATGAGTCAGGATTATGGTTACGATAAAGTTTGGGGGGTAAGAACTAGGGTGGATCGTAGGCATGGTTTCTTTCAGATTTTTTTTACCTTGGGGGAGATGACTATAATTAAAGTTTTATATATATATATATATATATATATATATATATATATATATATATATATATATATATATATATATATATATATATATATATATATATATATATATATATATATATTCTATTAAAATTTTGTATTTTTTTCTATTTCGTAAAAGGGGAGGGGGGTGGAATAAAACAGTAATCCGTTGCCTTAGAGATTTCTATAACAAACTCTGATGTTAGAATTAGAATCGGTTTTAAAAAGTTAATGTCAGTTAATGCTTCGATACACACTACAGAAATATGTACTTGTAGATCTATCTATATCGGGTCTTTTTTTTTTTTTTAAATTTTAAAATTATTTTCTATTTTGTTCTCTTCGGTCCGTCTCTAGAAAAAAATGTGAACATTGTTTCACAGATCCGGTATGACAGTCGGGTAAATATCCAAACACCCGTCACGGACCACTGGTTCCCAAACACAGTCACGTGACTCGGTCCGCATGCCAGACAGGTCGAAAGTCAGAAGAACCGTCACGGTCAACTGATTCCAAGCACGCTGTCATGAGACTTGGTCAGGTGACAGAAAATAGGTCACGCACAGCGGCCGGAGGTTTCAACGGCAGGGTTTTACAATTACAGAATATCGGAATAGTGTATTACATATCGAACGTTATCGATTTTCACGTGTCTGATTAAATGAATTATGTTTGAACAATAAAATAAATAGGCCTGTGTTCAATTCATAATATTTTATTGAAAACCTTCTAGCTAACAGCCAGCGTGACACTGTTCATATATATATATATATATATATATATATATATATATATATATATATATTCTTAGGTCCCGTCAATCCGTTTTAGAATAAAGAGTATGAACGACAGCGAAATATGTTCAATGTGACTTAGATAAGTCCGTTTAGTAGTTGGAGTTTCATTGTTCAAATGATAATTTACGTGTCTAAATGTTATACCCCAGAAATATGGCTGCATTTAGTGAAAAATTAAGGGGAATAAAAACAGTCTTGAACTGTATCTAGATTTTTAAAAAGCAACTCATTTTAATTTATATTAGAAAGTGGGAGATAGCAAACAGACCTCTAGAAACTAAAGACATTCACAACAATTTACATTCATGCCTGAGCTTATATAGAGGTACCCTAGCTGGCACCCACCTAGAAGCAGCGATTAGTCACTGAATGACGAATACGTCACGTGGTTTGGAGATACCTCTGTTCTAATTACCGAAGCGGAACAGAAAAATTAGAATACACATGCTACGTAAAGCGGGAATTTTAATTTGCACGAGTGGCAAAAAAAAGTAAAAAAAGTAAACTGGGTTGTATTGTACTTAACATAATTGTAGAATGAATGTATTATTTTATCCGTATATCATATATATATATATATATATATATATATATATATATATATATATATATATATATATATATATATATATATCAAATGCGTCTAGGCCTGTGATGAATGCGTGTAGCAAGGGTGGTAAAACATGTAAGTGTGGGTTGTCGTGTGTGTGTCCCCCTTCCCCCCTCCTCCCCCCAAATTATAAAGTGCTCCCCATGAGAATAATGTATAAAATAAACACTGAGTGGTTTGGAATCGTATTTTAGTCACTGTAGACATAGTGTTAAATTTGTTAAATATGTTAAAATCGTCATATGAATCATGCAGATGGCGTGGCTATAATAATAAGATATTTGAATTAATCATTCAAGTTATAAAAAATAACACTATTTTTATTTTTCTCAGTTCAATATACCTGTACGTCTGTCTGTGGGTTTGTGGTTGAATTTTTTAAGTCAGTTTTTAACCACTTATAATGAAACCATTTCGTTCAAATTTTCAAGTTATTAATAAAAAAAGTTTTTAACTTTTTGTTGTTGTTGTTGTAAAAGTTAGGTCTGCTAATACATGAGATAATTTCCTAAATTGTATTGAAATGATATCTGAACCTACGCTATTAATAACGCTATCAATTTTTCAAAGACTCCAAAAGAGACTCCACTTAAGCACCTAATTATAATTAAGGAAAATGTCTGTTTTGTTTCTTATTTTAATGCTTTACGAAATCTTGTTATTATAAAAAAATTTTAATAGGCCTAAACGTTTTAGGTACGTGGCACTTGCAAATCTGTTTACTATACAAATAAAATAAAACAATGACAAAAGCTAAATGTAAAGTACATCAATGGATCCCCCGTATCCTGAGGTATTAAGGACAAAATAATAGTTTCTTGACCTTTTTACTTGAGTGGGGGGGGGGGGGGGATAACGAAAAAGAAGGGATTATTTAGTTTAAGTTATAAGGCCATGACCACGGATTTTCCGATGCTAAAATTAGCAACAGTCACATGCCGTGCGGATATAGGTCACCTGGATAAAGATTCACAATTCGCGATGGATTTTAAAAAAATAGGTCATGACACTCATTATTCATTTTTCACCCCTCTACCCCCTGCTTGCCTTCTACCGAGGGTCTTGACCCACGTGAGGGTTTACTCTAAGTAACGTGTACTTTCATCATCTAAAAGTGCACGCTACCTGGGTTCGCTGTGTTGCGGTATTTGACTGAAAATTTTCCACCCACGCGGTGTATTTGAAGGGGGTGGGGGGGGAGGTACAAGAGAGGTCAGGGTTAAAGGGTGTGGTCATCAACAGGGGTCACTGCCTGGTGGACAAGGGTCGACGTGGTAGATATACGTATGGGGATTGTGTGCTGATTCTTCACAATTTCTGTCCCAAGGTACCACAGTAACTGTAAAAAGGGGGTGCGAGCGGTGGTGGTGAAGGAAGGGGGGGGGCACGGCGAAAAGAGGTCAGGGTTAAAGGTTGTGGTCATCAACAAGGGTCACTCTCAGGTGGACGACAATCGACGAGGTGTCTCGTGCTGATTCTTCACAATTTCTGCCGCTGTAGAGCAGGAGGTTGGGGGCGGTGGTGGAGGGGGGGGGGGGTGCAGAATGTAATTAGAATCATCTTTTCCCGTTCATGCCTAAGACATATAGGACAGGTGTCGTAGAGTTTATCTGTTTCAATGACCTCGGCATACACGGTTATAATGTTGACAGCTCTATGCCCAGCCGCTTTTGTTTCCCTAACGTGAATCAGGTCCCCATCAGAGCTGGGGTGACTCATGGACGTTCTACAGACTCGAGCTCGAGACTTTCGGGTTAGCAGTCGTAAGCTCAACCATTCGACCACTCCTTCCTCTGCAGAATGTAGTACAACACAAAATTCTATGTTAGAACTATTCACTCGTTAATCGGTTGCACGGTGTTCGACTATTACCTAATCTCAAATATTAAAATATGCGTCTAGACTTACTCTTACCGATATACAATTTCTACAAAGTGAAGGTTACTTAGCAGAATCTACAAAG